TGCAGAAAGGTTGAAGGTCAAGGGATGGACTGTTTCTTTGCCGAGATAATACCCTGAGCCCTCACTGAGCTCGATTGTTAGAATTGCTTTCCCAAGAGAATAGAGGTTAAAGAGCGGCCAGAGTGACTAGGAACGTCTCTCTCTGATAGATCAAGTAGCCATTACGAGAGAAGCAGAGGGATCCGAGGTACTCCTCCTGGGAAGTACTACTTCTTTGTAAGAATCGCTAGATCCAGTTGCAGTGCGACTAACTCACTTCATCATCTTGATACCTTACTTAACCACGGTACAAGATTATATGGTTTTGGAACCAATACAGATAAGTATTTATGATCTTCCTAATCAGAAGAAGAAGAGGCGTCGGGTTACTCTCAGAGTTTCTTCTTCTAAGAGAGATCGTAAGAAGACTGAAATCTCTACCCTTTTAAACTTCATTCATCAAATAAAAAGGATGCCCATATTGCAATGAGTGTAGTAGACGGGATGCGTCTTCTAAAAGATGCTCCTATATACACAGTTCACGATAACTTTATAACAACAGCTGAATATAGCTATATGTTACCAAAGATTTATTACGGCGTCTTTCGTAACATGGGCCCTCCACTTTCAATCATCAACGAGTTCATCTATATGAATGTTTTTGAACATAGTTCTAATGAACCTTTCACTACCAGTAAGGTAATATCAAAAGAGAGGTTGAAAACAGCCTTAGAGGCTAATGTACCAGAGAGCATAAAAAAGAACAACAAGATGATGGCAACTTGGAATGAAAGGATCTCGGGTATACTGACCGCTTAGTTTTATGGCAAATGGCAGTTCTTGTTGATTCTCTATTTATACTGTGGATAGTCGATTTTTTAGAGCGAGCGCGAATCTTTGCGGGATTCAACAAACAATTCATCAGTTGTTGAATCATCCAATTTTGCTGATTCAACTTACTCTTCTCAGGAAGCTCCTAATCTCACTGGCAGTTGAATCATGTCATTTAGGTGATTGATTCCACTTACATCAGTGTATGTAATACGAATACTAACATCACAGGTATGTAGTCACTTAAGCGAAGCTTTTGGAAGGAAGGTTGACTATTTTGTAGGGATGCTCTCTTCTGCGTCGACTGCTATGTGCTAAAGGCTGCGGAATAAGAGCGGTAAGGCTTTCCGGATTCACCCCATCTTCTTTTCTAGGCCTTGAATATTAAGCCCAATCTGTGGTTTTGTCATACAATAAGATAAAATTTGTTTGGACTCGTTAGGGTTGGCCCATTACCTTGAGTGAGGCCTAACGTGTACACCTCTTGTTGTGATCTTATCCACTGATGGGTCTTGCTCTAAGCCCACTATCCTAATAGGTCCCTCTTGTGTCGGGTTAAGGCTCCACCTCATGTTGGGTTAAGGGCTTAGTTGAACCCAATTTCTTCACTTGTAGTCTAGGGCTTTGCTTGGCATTGGGCTTCGTTGTTTTCCTGGTCTTGGATTGAACCTAAACCAAAGTCTATAGGCTGAATTAGGAGAATGGAAACCTATTGGTTCTGCAGAGCTATGCCGGTAAGCAAGAAAGGAAACTGACCGGGAAGTGCTATTCACTCTTCCTAAAAAGCATTTTTTTCCTGACATTCAAGACTGGCATGTACAGTGAGAAGTGCGCAAGACCGGAAAGACTGCTAACACCGGTTAGTTCTTTGCTCTCTGTCAATCAATATCAATAATGGAACTGGCTTGCTAACAGAATCTGTAACAGGATAGCTTTCAAAATATTACAAACTTGAAATAGCTTAACTGTCGCAATTAGCTTCCCTGACTTGCTTTGCTAGCTTCTACTTTAATGCAGAACTCCCAATAGTAGGAATTACACTCGATGGATTGGTGAAAGAACCCGGCTTTCTAGCTTGACCTTTACTCTTCACACGAAAGCTTTCGGGACGAAGTGACTCAAACAAAGCAAAGCGAAGAGGTTCTTTAGCGTAGGCTAGTCAATTTACTTGGAGTAGCTTTCCCGCTGCCCTCCCAGTTGAAGTCATAAGGTAAGCAAGCCTCTCTAGTGAGAGTTCTTACATTGAGAGTAAACTTACTCCTATGATAGTGCTAGGTCCTTCTATTCCTAATCCCTCTGTCGATAAGCTGCTAGGCAGCATCCCCGGAAGGACCTATGCGTGAAGGTAGTTTAGGAATGGGGTTGGGCAAGAAGCTCGATGCAGGGAGTCCCTATAATCTTTTAGATCGATCGGGGCTTTGCTTTGCTCCAACACTTAAGCTTTCACCCAAGGTATTTGGCTACTCAGCTTGAAGAAGGAACAGAGAGAAGGCTCCAATCCAGCGTTCTTTAGAAAGTTTGGGATATAATATAGGGTCAATAAGGATCATTTACCCCTGAAGAAGTTTCCTTTAACACTCAACGGTCAGTTTGTGTTGCAAGGAGATGAGGAACTTTACTACGAGTTCCCGAAACCATGGTGTGACCCACAGACCAAGGTTCGAAGACCTGGGTTGGAGATTTTCTTTGCTGAAGCAAGAGATCCGGAATTGATCAAGACCTGGTTTAAGGAAAAACGGGAAGTTCCCGCAGAAGACGAAGATTGGGTGAAGCACTTATGTTATGGTGTTCTCCGCAAGATGTTTCAGTTTGCCGATCCCGAAGAGCGAGGTTTCGATCCGACAGCCTTAATGATACCTCCCTCGGACCACGTTTCCCATGATTGGAGCGTGGAGTGCAAGATGGATAACGGATCCTTGAATTTTTAATTATTCCTCGGAAACCGCCCAAAAATCTTTCCCACCTCTCTAAACCATTCCTCTAACTCATTCGATGGATACGATACCGATAAATAAATCCGTCATCCAGCCTCTCCTCATTGCATACTGAATCCGATATCTCTGATTCAGAAACTTCCAATCCTGATCTAACACTAGAACCTATTTTCATTCAAAACATTGAACCTGAACATTCTGCATTATCTGATGATGAATTGTCTGATGCACCTAGGACATGCATGTCTCCAGTAGAAGAGTTAGTCATTGTAAATATAGAGTCAGATAGTGATGTAAAAGAAGTCCATGTAGGGTCCTCATTGTCTCATGATGAACAGTCCTCATTCATTGCATTACTGAAAGAGTATGTAGATAACTACGTCCAGAATTTCTACTACACTCAACAGGCAGCCAATCTTCTTCTCACATCCCATATTACATAAGGTCAATCAATAGAAGAAAGCTGATATGATATAAGGCAGAGGACGGTGACGATAAGAGTGATGATACCTAAAACTAGGCGAACTTACTTCGGAAACTTAAACGAATCAATTCCCACTTGATCCATTCTTCTGACTGCGCTAGCATCATCGGATACGGCAACAGAGATTCTTCCAACTTCGCTCTCAGAGGCGGGCTTGTAGACTATTGAATTCAAAATCATCATCATCGCCTTTTTTATTTCATTCGTATTTCGAGGTTTTACGCTTAATGGTTAAAAGGTGTAAAAGTAATGGGTGCGGGAGCGGCTATTGGTATTGAAACTCTTTACTGGTATGGTCGAACGACCCGCAGATGTAGGGATGAGTTGTCACCCGAACTGCGTAACCAAAGCGATCCCTTGTTGGCGTAAGGTAGGTGTAGGTCCGATTCACCTATGTCAGTTCGAACCAGACGGATCGTTTGTTCGTGATGCTATTCAGGATGGTACTATTCTTCCTTCTTATGTTCCTACAGAGGTGCAATTGGTGGATATCTTCACCAAACCGTACCCTTTAGAGAAAGAAGCGGGTCTCTGATAGTAGCCCTATCAACTAGTTATTTCTCTAGAATCTGCTATAGGATGTCTCGTTTCTGTATCTAACAGATAGGACAATATCAGTGGGATAGCCCTTAAATTGAAATAAAAATGTCTGGTGCCAAAAATAATTTAAATTGTTCATCTTCAACTGTAGCCACGCTCATAAACCGAATTGATAGTTCTTAATATAACAATAATAAAATATAAAATTATTGATTTAAGCTAGATCCACTAAATGGAACAACCCGAACATGATCCGACCCGAATATACTTGACCCGAAAATGACCCGACCTATACCTAAAACCCAAAATGACCCGACCCGACTCGAAATTGACCCGACCCCTGCCCGACCCGACCCGTACCCGACCCGAACGACCCATTTTCCAGGACTATTTATATTTCATATAAGATATGTAATTTGACTTTCATTTTGTGATCCATCATCTATGCTTAAAGAAAAAAAATGTCCCATAAAATTTTAGATTTATCTCAATATATATGATACTTCGTATCGGAATATCAAAAATTTTATATTATTGCCTATTGGCTATTGATAATTAAAGGTATACTATATTTTTGGAGTTGGGCCTCATTTTGACATTTTCTATGTAATTGTACCAAAATGGTCACACGATGCTATTTAGGCAAAGTCGCATCCCAAAGAATGAAAATGATAGCCCAAATCCCATGATACATTAAACTTGATCAACTCTACTACTCTGGTTCGGAGTACTTCTACCCCTCATGAAGAGGGCATCTTAATTTTTTTTATCTTACCTTTACAAAAAAAAAAAAAAAAAAAAAAATATATATATATATATATATATATATATATATATATATATATATATATATATATATATATATATATATATATATATATATATATATATATATATATATATATATATATATAAAGTGCACTTTGCACGTGACACGAAGTAGTTGGTGAATTTGGGTCACTAGGTATGAATCGGGTCAGCGTTAGTTGGGATTGGTGTTAAATGTGCCCATGCATATCAAATTCTATATTGAATCATTTCTTGATTAGGCAAGTCTACTCAGGTCAGCTTAGTTTTTTTACATCTTTAGATTGATAGCAGTGTCTTTAAAGAATTTATTTGATCTCACCGAAAAAAAAAAAAAAGAATTTATTTGAACAAAGGAACATCCTTAACATACCAAACGGAAATAAAAGTAAAATAAGAAAAGGTGTAAAATTAAGTTATTGTACCTGCATCATGTCTCCGAGATTAACAACCAATGTGCTAGGGATAGGCGTCACTTTGAACCACTGGTCATCCTTGAAAAATTGAAGGCCACCCACTTGATCTTCGCTCAATATTGAGATAATAGAACTGTCTGTGTGCTCATGCAAACCCCTAACATGCTCGGTAATGGTACGTCGAGGGTAACGATAAACTCGGATTATTCCCGTTGATTCATCTAAACATGATTGAAGTACTTGTAAATCGAGTTTGAGGTTTTCTATTATGGCTTCAAATATTGTCGAGGCGATTCTAGTTAGATGTCCTCTATAATCCTCCAATAATTTCCTGGTGCCATACAAACATTGGTAAATTAAGAGTTGGTTAGAAGAGAGTACGACATGATTAATTGTATGATGTCAAGTCATGTACATTTGCAACGCTACATGATATATAAATTGAATTTGTACAAATAGAAAATTGATATGCATGGATAACAAGATCACTTCTATATGGCAAGTCTAATGATCCTACTTGGCTGCTTATGACAAAAATGACTTAAATTTAATAAGTACTCTGAATCAAAAATTAAACTCAACTTTATTTAGTCGAATTCTACCTAATACCATTCAATTTAACATGTTTTTAACAAGTATAGTATACAACATATATACTTATATCAAAGTCCTGACTAGCCATCCAGCTATACTAAATTTTCAAATTGAGGCATCTAATAATAAGATAATAATTCAAGATTGGATGTCAAGGCCACAAACCTTCTTTCGACACGAGGCCTAGAGCCCTAGACAGTACAGTACTACAAGTCTAGTCTATTTGTAACTTTGCAAGTGTCCACTTGCAATTTGCAATAATAAAAGCTTTTAATGTCTACTCGTAAGATTTAGTTAACTTCCATATTCATAGTTGAAAATTTTAGGCCCCACCGCAAATGTAGTTACCGACATGGTCCAATAGACTCATCATGTTAAGTACAGTAACTAAAATTAAGCCAAGCTAGCCTACTTGGTTCTATTGTTTTACCAATGCTCTAATTTTACAATGTATTCGATCTTAACCATCTTTTATCCGATTCACATTATCACTAATAGAGTTAGTGGTTTAACGATTCACGTTTTGTGTTATATCTCATCAATTATAATTATTTATGAAGTTTTATCACCCACGTTTGTTATATGTGAAGACATAAAGACCACTCATTTTCGTATGGGCCGAGATCAAAACCTGATGTTCATAGTATAATGTACGAGATATTTCCATATCACCAAACTTGAAAATTAATTAGTTTTTCATAAAGGATTGTGATGGAAAATATGATTAAGAACCTCTTAACTTATTGGTGCCATATACATCTATCTCCAGTAATTTACATGAGTATCAATTCAAGTTGATCTGATCAGATCCGATGTATGCACAACCTCATATAACATCTTTATGACTATATATGTTCCTTTCAAAATACTAATTTTGAACTACAATACATTGAGTAATATTAAAATTATGATATATGTAATAGATAAATAAGATTATTTTGTCATGAATTCCTTACCTCTTTATTTATTACAAAGATGTAGTAATTAATAACACTAATAAGGATGTAAGAGTCTACCTAATGTTTAGCTAATTGACTATATAATATACTTAATAGCTAGTTAAAACAAATGACCAAAGAAATAAAAATTGTAGTAGGTGACAAAGTTGTAAGCAAATATGGTGGACATATACGTGCAGATTAACGTATTATTAACATAACATGATATAATAATAAGATGATTATACATCTATGATTAAAATATTATTAATTCAACCCTTAATAGAAGGGAGATATATGTAAAAGAATATTTAAGAAAAAGGATTAAGATATTACTAATATACGAACCTGAAATCATTGATCAAAGGATTATGATGAAAGTGTTGATGTTGATGAAGTTGATTAACAGGAAAATTAAGACCTTCAACCCAATCCATATTAAGGGCATCAGTTGTTCTTGGAACGGGAACTCCTGAAGAAGTAAGGGCAGGAGTACCCCAAAAGTATTTTATAGGGCAGTTTTTATCAAGGCCTTGTTTGGTTTCAAAGGGTAGCTCAAATAATGTTTTGGCATGCTCCTTTAGTTGCCTTAGAAGATTACTTGGAACCCCATGATTTTCCAATCTAAATATTCCCCATTCCCTACATGCTATGTCAAGTTTTTCAAAATTCAAACACTGCATATCGATTACGGGCAGGGGTAGGGGCAGGGACGGATGTGGGAGGTCCAAGGTCCCTGCCCCTACTACAACCTGTCTGTCTTTCAGGTCGAGTTTTTGAGTCGTGTCATTGGATGATGAGCGGAATATAGGTGGGTATGATCCAATAATATTGGATTCTGACATGACTAATTTTGAGGGAATATTATGAAGAAAGATTGGGTGTGTTTGGGTTTGATTGCTGTGGAATTTCACTGTTTGTTGCTATGGTGATGGTGTAAAGTGTTGGTTATTATTTGACAGACTTAAAACAAGTTGGAAAATAATGTCAAAGTTGTGTATTTGAGAGGGATTGAATATCAGAGGTAGAAGAGGCAGCAATAATGTTTGGGTCCATGGATAGAGAGATAGGGACATGAGATTAAGGTGGGTCCCCCAATAAGGCTTTTGGAACCTAACAATGTTATGTTGATCTTTTGAGATGAGATTTACATGAATTCAATGTGCCAATACTCGTTTTTTTCAACACATTAACTAGCTTTTTAAGTAGTTTGGCTCACAAATTAAGTAATGGAGTTGAGTATGTGGGTATGTAGTATTATGTGCTCTTTAAAGTATTATGTAAATATGATAATTTTATTAGGCGTTGTACATATATATTGTGTCTTATTAGGCGGTGTAATTATATTAATCTAATTTCATGCCTATCGAATCTCATACTCTATCTTATAAAGACAAAATCAGTTAATACACTGGATAACCTCTGTTATATGCAAGTATTAGAAGTATTAATCCTCTAAACAACACTTTTGTTACTATAAATATGTTAAAACATTCATGACACAAATAAGACAACAAAATGTCTCTATTAGTCATTCTAGCTTAGATTATTTCTTATTCGAAATTATTGTTTCTTTATGTCACTATCCAACCCAAGTCATGATTTTTAGCGCTGTTATGAAAATCATGTCCTGGACAGTGACAAACACATGCAATGACGTTGATTATAAACCAGTTCCTCGATTCTCTAAAGTTTTTTTTAGAGTTGTTTTCAACCCTTAAAATTTACTTCTATAGGAATCTAAAGATGAATCCTTTTGCGTAGTGTAATTATCGTGCATTATAAACATTCTTAACCTGAGTAGATTTTTTTGGGTACAATTAGAATAGTAGATACATAAAGTTATAAGCTACATATGCTTTATATTTTTTTTTTATTGTTATTATTATTATTATTAATATTAGGCAAAAGCTAACAAACGCCCCAGAGGTGTTGGATAAGATAACTAAAAGTAGAAATATTATCTTGAAATAAACATTAATTACACCGTTCGACGTGTCATTTTAGCATGCAATCCCAAATTAATACTATTTTAAGAACTATTTTAAAGGGTTATCTAACACTCCAGGGGTGTTCGTTAGCAAGATCTTTATTATTATTATTATTATTATGATAATAGATAGATAAATGAATTAATCCATAATTAGATTAGTAAAATTCATCAAATTTGGTATCAAAGGCCCACATAATAACATAGGCTTAATAAATTAATAAAATGGGCTTAAGATGTCAAAAATCAAATACGGGTTAGAAAGTCGGTTTAGAGTATCTACTCCATCTCCATTCTTCGTTCAAATTGGTTTCTGCAACTAAAGCTTCGAAGCTCAAAAACACCTCATTTTCTCTCTCCTCTCATCGATCTCCGCCAATCTTCATCCGCGTTTCATCTTTCCGAGGTAAACCCTTTTGTTTGATTATTAATTTAAGCATTATTTTGTGGTATTGTTATCATTTCATCGTTTGTACTATGACCCACATGTAGTCATTGTGGGTCGCAGGACACACTATTTTTTTAATTTTTTATTCCTGATGTTATTTTCTTTTTTCCCCTTTAGATCTATTTCACGGTACTCCTTCCTCTCTCTCTCCTCCATTGAAGCATACTCGAAATTCTCCATTGAAGGGGCTTCTGCGCTTTCTCTCCTCCATTGAAGCAGTCTCTAAGGTTAGATGCTTCTTTTTCTTTAATCATCTAATATTAATTTTGACAATCTAGTGTTAATCGCGTAATTAATTGTCAGTATATTCTCAATTTAGGGTTCTTCGAAGTTGGATAATTGAACTATTGGTTATAGATACTCGAAGAATTTAACGTAATTCTTGGAGTCCAGTTTGATACTTGAGTCCATTTTGGTTGCTAATTTGTAATGTGTTGCAGGAGGGTGGTTTCGGTGGTGGTGCAGGGGGAGGGGGTGGCTGTCGGGGCTGGGCTGGGGAGTGGCTGTCGGGCTGGGTGGGGAATTGTTTAATTAATTTGCATGTTCAGTGAGGAAAATTAATTTGCAACATGTTTATTGAAGTTGAAATTGCTATTATTTTCGGCTTTGTTGAATTTGGATTTCTTTTCAAATTGATGTTCATTAATTCTGTTTTTGATTGTATGATATTTCTGTGATAGTTGGATTAATAGAAATGTTATGTATTTCCTTCGGCCCAAAATCAAAGGAATTGTGTTGAAATAACAAGCTTTTACATCTTTATCATGGTGCAAAGTAGTTTTCTTGTTGGTTATCATTGTGGGAAATTTGGATAAGTTAAACATTTAGATTGATTTATCTAATTCAACCTTTAACTTCAATTTCAGAATGAAAAGAAAAACAACTCGAGATATTTCAAGTTTTTTTACTAAAAAAGTGCCTACTCTAAATCCTCCTCCTCCACAAAATGATACTCCTCCTCCACAAAATGATCTACCTATCAATCAAAAGTATTATCCGCCACTGACTATAATTGTGAGCTAATTCAAGTTTTTTTTTTTTTTTTTTCAAATTATAGCTTTATGATGGTGTTTATTCCAAGTATTTGCTTCCAATTTTTTGATATTTTTATTGGGTTATGTTGCTTTTTGCTCAATTACTTTTGCAGTAATTTAGGGTTGAGTTTGATTTCTAGCCATATTTTGTTCTTCGTTAGGTTATGATTTCTAGGTATTTTTTCAATTTCGGGTTGATTATCAAAAGTTCTAAAGTGGGATTTATTTATTTGAGCATTTTGAATTTAGCAAATTTTAGGATACTTAGGTATTGAATTGGGAGATTGGTTTAGGCCATTGCAACGCGGAGATATTGTTGGAAATTATGAGATAGAAATCTTACTATTGCAAGAGGATGGCAGAGAAAAGAATCATGAAATAGCAACCAGTATATGCTGCTAGAAACTCCTTTGGCCCTTTTAAAAATGGCATCCATAGATGTTCACCCTTGGGTTTAAGCCGTTCAACACGTAGGTGCACCCGGGTGTAAGATGGATATGTTCTCAGACTTTATACTATGGAGTACTAATTTACAAGCTGGCTCAGTTAAAATGTCTACCTATGATGAAGAAGTCTGCTTTTCATGAGCCATTAGCTGATTGCAAATATCACTTTAGATAGACATCCTCTTCCTGTAGGACTGTAGGAAATCTATCGTTAAGTCATTAAGGTGAGAGAACTATCATGATAGTCTGTTACTTTTGGGGGTGGGGTGGGGTAGGGTGTTGAAGAGTGAGTTGCAGAGCTTAACACTTTGTTTGGATTGAAGGAAATGGTGGGAAGGGAAGGGAAGGAAAGGAAAATGGAGGGATAAGTTATTTTCATTTGGATAATAAATGAGGAAGGAAGGAAGAGAATTGGAGGGGAGAGAAATAGAGGGATCAAATTGTAAGAAATTGATCTCTCCTACAATGTAGAGATTTGGAAGAAAAACTCATCTTACTTCCCTCCTCTCCCTCTCTCTTCCCTCCCCTTCACCTCCCTCCCCTTCTTTTCTTTCCCATTTTTTTTTTTAATCCAAACACACTGTAAATAATAGAAACAAAGACTATATATTCAACTAGTGTTTAACACTATGTTTGGATAGAGAGAAATGGAGGGAAAAGAAGAGAAGAGAAAAAGAGGGATGCATCATCCTTTGTTTGGATATGTAATGCAAGGAGGGTAGGGGAAAGAAATGGAAGTATCCATTTTCCTCCCCCTTTTAATAAACTAAATCCCTCCATTGTTGGAGATTTTTAAGGAAAATGGAATGTCACCTTCTCCCTCCCATTACCTTCCTTTCCCTTCCCTCTTTTTCCTTCAAATCCCTTTCCCTTCTCTATTGTTATCTAAACATAGTGTTAGAGATTCAATAGCGGTAATGGTAAGTTGCGTCTTGGAGTGAACTTTAAATCTCGAGGACATCTTGACGGGGTTGTAAAGAGAGTAATATAGTTCCCCGTCAGACTGAAATCCCTGAATGTGCTTTAAAGTTCTAATTTACAAGCTAGCTCAGGTAGAATGTTTACCTATGATGAGGAAGGCTGCTTTCCATGAGCTAGTCAAAGCTCGAAGAGAAATCCTTTGAGCCATTAGCTGATTGCAGTAATCCCTTTAGATAGACATCCTCTTCCTGTAGGACCATGTGAGTTATCTATCATGAGTCTTAAGGCGAGAGAATTATCATGATAGTCTGTTACTTTGGGGGTGGGGACGTGGGGTGTTGTAGAGCGAGTTACAATGCTTAATTAATAGAAACGGAGACAATATTTTCAACTAATGACCTAATGTTTTAAAGGTTCAACAGCGGCAGTGGTAAGTTGTGTTACGGATTATTGTAATTCTTGAGGACACCTTGATGGGTTTTTAACGATAGTTATTTAGTTCCCTGTCAAACTGAATTCGCTTTGTATTTTTGGTTTAAGTGATCATTTCTTGTGGAAATAAATTGCAAGTCTTTCGTAGTTGTGCCGAAGGACTAATGTATTTTGGTTGTTCAACTTGTAAATCATGATTCGTGAACCTTCCCTCATCAATATATTGTAATGTTGCTGTTTCTGAAGGCTTGAAGCTTATGCAGGTGGTGGTGGAACTTATGTGAAAGGATCTATTTTGTTGTTCATTCGGGGTGATATTATGATTAGAATATGTTGTATTGTATCGTATGTTCTTCTATAGGTACATATAGTGTTTCTGATGTTTGTCTGAGATACTTGTGGTGTTGAATACTTGTGTTCCTGTGATTTTGTTCTTGTCCTTCAGAGTGTATTTTAAGTTCTGAAGCTGCTACCCTGCATTTAAATTTGTTGCTTCATATATCTGCTTAGCATTCATATATCACTCTGTAATTCACATCTACTCCGTATTCTATTAGAAGTGATGCTAGCATAATTTTTTCAAAAAGAGTATTTAGCTCTTAAAAATTGGAAACCTATACCTTTGTTGTCGAGAGGCCCTTTGTGATGAACATGATAAGTTTCAGCTTTAACTAAACCAATAGTTAAATGTTTGGTTTTGCTCTTCTTGTTAGTATGTACTTCATATACATCATATGCTTTTTTTTTTTTTTTTTTTTTTTAACAGCATCCCCAAATCTCTATCTTCCTATGATTAGTAGCTTCAGGTTTCAATTCTAATTTTGACATGTGGTTTTGGCAGAACTTTTTGAGATACTAAGGTCTTTGCAGAAGCCATGGCAAAGCATCATCCTGATCTTATCATGTGCCGGAAGCAGCCAGGCATTGCTATTGGACGGCTTTGTGAGAAGTGTGATGGAAAATGTGTGATTTGTGATTCATATGTTCGCCCATGCACACTTGTGCGAGTCTGCGATGAGTGCAATTACGGATCGTTTCAGGGTAGATGTGTGATCTGTGGAGGTGTCGGCATTTCAGATGCCTATTACTGCAAGGAATGTACTCAGCAGGAGAAGGATAGAGATGGGTGTCCTAAAATTGTCAATCTAGGAAGTGCCAAAACAGATCTGTTCTATGAACGGAAGAAATATGGTTTCAAGAAAAGATGATAAGAGGATGAATCACTTTGCTTCTACCAGAATGTCATTTAAGATTGGACTTGCAAGTTTGTATAATCAGTTTACTTTTGATACTTCTGGTATAAGTTGTAGTCACTATGTTACTATGCCTTACCCATCAAATTAGCTGACAAAACTTACGAATTTGTACGAGTGCTAGATATAATGCTGTTTTATATGCTGCTAGGAAAGCTTGGTTGATTAAGCCGCAAATTTTGCTCAGTTATGGAGTTAGATTTCGTCTACTTAGCCAATTTGGTTATGGGCATACATTATATATTGGTGTTGATTAGTGATCATTGATCCCGTTCCATTGCCAACCTTTTAACCTCGTAGGGAATTGGTAGTGTTATTTACTACGTATTAGATTAGGTACACGGACAAATTGATAAACATTGACATGATTGAATAGTCAAATCCTAGGTTGTTTTTATTCTAGATCTACGTACATAATTAAGTGTGAACTTTTTATAAACTATAGAGTACTGTATATAGCCAAAAACGATTGTATTTAATTGTATGTCTTATGTTTGTATTATCTGGTTACTTAAGAGAGCATAGTATTGAGTAAAAAATTACTACAAAACTTTTGACTTACCCATAAAATTAGCTGACTAAACTTAGAAAATAAACTTGTTTTAATTATGTTTCAAAATCTGTTATGTATGTATGAAAGCCGCAAACTTTGCTGCACTATAAAAATTCAACTCATCAGCTGCATGCACTTCCAATTTAATTGGTTTTTGTACGTCTTCAACTTAATGAAGATTCTGATTATTTATATAACTATACGTTTTGACTATATTTGCTCAACCTTCTACTTTTTCAAGGAAGATAATTTTGTTCTACTTCAACTTTACTTGAACTTTTATTATATCACAATTAAGTAATTAACACAAATACATAATATTTTATACTGTAACTCATATATATAACTGCCTACTAATCAAAATTTCAGAAGAGGTCGGTGGTAGACGACTATATACTATACTATATAGTATATAGCATCATGTTTATACAATTATACATTAATTAGTCTCATGCAAAGGGTGGCTTAAGGTGGAATTATTACTAAAATTTAATTGCAACAGAATGTTACATGTACGTATAAATAATGACAAATTGACAATACTCTTGTACTTGCCATTGATTGAAGTAAATGTATGTTGTACTCTTGTACAAGGTGTACTTGCATGTTGTCGAAATATTTTTATCAGTTAAGAGGAAATTGAATGAATTTATGAGTGAAATTAACGTCAGTAGGTATCTATAAAATTGATTTGATGAACATGTTGTGAAACTTTAATAACAGGGTTTTAAAAACACCCAACATTCTTTTTTTTTTTTTTTTTTCGTTCTCTTCGGTATAGAATATTCATCTTTCAAATAACGTACGAAGTTTTAACCGTAAATTAAACAAAATATACGAAGTAGCTAGTTATTCAATGCAAACCTTAACCTTCTAGCAATTTGAACACAAGCAAAGAATCGAGTATGAATAATCCTTACTTTTGGACTAACATGTTATGTCAACATATAAGTGAGAATAATGTGAAATCAGTGATATGGCATTAATTAACCTATTATCTTTTGAACTAAAACATGTTAACAAAGTCATAATCGAATTTAATTAAAAAGTATCATATGACTTTGTTGTACCCCCATTTGAAACCTTTGTACAAGTGGGGTTTTAAAAATAAAAATAAAATTGCAAGCAAAAACCAAAGAACTCAAAAATGAATGCTAAATAGTTCACATTGTCAACAACCTACTTAACATACGCATACAATCTATTCTCTTCAATGAATACAATTTCATCACGTATAGAATAAAGTCAACTTTTGATTTTGTTAGAATATTATTTCATGTGCTAACGCTTTAATCACAATTGTTCTATCTATATTAAACTTCTCACTAGTATTCTTTGATGATAATTAATTAAATATACTTCTAAACCACCTTTAAGTCTATTACTGTAAGTATGTAATAAGTAGGGTGTTCATCATAAAACTAAGGGAACCTTACAAATAATTAAGGTATTCTCGATAATTCAGGTGTATCATTTGTTTATACTACTCTTGAATTACAACTTAATTATTAGGAAATTTTAGAAAATAACACCTGAAAAAAACCCAAATTTTAATTATAACACCACAAAAAAAAAAAAAAACTTTTATTGTAGCACCACAAAAAAAACCAAAAAATTGGTTTCACCACCACTTAATTTTGTCATCCAAAAAACGGTTAAGTGAGCCCCACACGGCACACGTGTCAATCATTTATTGGATAAAAAAAATTAAAAAAAAGAAAAATAAAAAAAAACAAAAAAAACCCTAAAATGCTACCCAGCCACCACCGCTGGTGCGTTTCCAACGTACCACCGTCACCCATACCCAGCTCCTGACCGCCGAAATCGTCGAACCCCAACCACCCATACCCAGCCCACACCATCTCCGAACCCATCCTAACCCCAACCTAAACCAGCCGAAACAGGCTGAAACAGCAGCCCACACCCCCACCCCCACCACCGTCGCCGAATTCCTCTGCCCTACCCAAAACCATCGTCGAACCGCCAAAACCCCAACCTACACCCATACCCGAACCCACAAAACACCCTACTGCTCTCACCCTCACCCTCACCTGGACCCAAACCCGTACCCAGAAACCAAATCGGGGTTGATGGTGGTGATGGTGATTGAAGCGAAGTTTAGGTTGGTGGTGATGGTGGCTGTTTAGTGATTGTGGGTGGCGAATTGGTGATTACGGGTGGCGAATTGGTGATGAGGTGGAGATGGGTGTTGCAACTGACGGTTTAGGCTGGTGGTGATGGTGGTTGTTTGGTGTTGTAGGCTGTGTGTACGGGTGTTGTTGGCTGTGATTGTGGGTGGCAAATTAGTAATTGCGGCGGTGTGTTGCTGCAGTGCAGGGGCGGCTGGCCGGCGGGAGGAGCGGTGTGGGTTTTCCAGTGGAGAGGGGAATGGGGTTGTTGGTTCCGGTGGCCGGTGGGCAGTGGGGATGGGGTGGTAATGGAAGGAGGGTGGGGTTGGGTTTTCTGATTTTTTTTTCATTTTTTTATCCAATAAATAATTGACACGTGTACAGTGTGGGGCCCACTAAAGGTTTTTTGGATGGAAAAGTTAAATGGTGGTGAAACCAATTTTTTGGTTTTTTGGTTTTATAATAAAAGTTTTTTTTTTTTTTTTTTTTTTGTGTAGTGTTATAATTAAAATTTGGGTTTTTTTTTCGGGTGTTATTTTCTAAAATTTCCTATACTACGTAATTCACAATTTATTCAAAACGATTTATATGTATTTATGGAATATTTTCTTACGTACATACCGACCCGAGAATATTCACTAAATTGAAATAATTAAGGTTTGACGCCTATAGAATAAGCTTGTATAATGTGTTTAGAAGAAGCATCTCCTTGAAAATTAAAGGAGACAAAAAGATTGTGACAACTATAGCAAAAAGATATGTTCAGACTAAGATCCTCAACCTATAACTCAAATTCAATAATATTTAGACCGACTTTTATTTGATTAATTTATAATTATATTGATAGTCAACTAGTTAATGATCTTAATAATGGTCATAAATCATGAGGAGAACTCCATCTGTCTTCATGGTTTGATTAAGATCAGAAATTTATTTGTGGCTAACTTTATTTATAACCTTAGATCATAATGTAAATTAGAAACCTAGTGATCTATTATTTGCCTTAATTCTGTCTTTAATTTGACGTCAAACAATTTGCGCTGACTAATATTATTATACATAATACATGTAGACGATGGAACTATATAGTGATTAATTATGTGGTGTATATATAGACAGTGGCGGACCCAGGAATTTCCGACTGGTGAGTCACAATCGATAATCAAGTATCTAAAAAAAAAAATTTACCGAACAACCAAATAATAGTACTAAAAAATACATCCAAATATTCAAAACAGTACAAAATACAACCAAATGTATGTGGAAGATTAGCAAATTCATGTTCACAATCGATAATCAAGTATCCTCTTTCCTGGATCTTGTGGAAGATTAGCAAATTCATGTTCACTTAATCTTTCACCAAAGATTGGGGCATTAGGAGAACATTGGCCTTGTTCATTTTGAGGGGAATTTTGAGTGGAATAATTAGATGGAGATGAATGTTGTTCACTTTCTTGAGGTGGACATATAGTTTGTTCACTCTGTTGAGGTGGAGATATAGTTTGTTCATTTTGTGTGGGATGTGGAAGAGAAGTTGAAGTAGGATTCTTTTTAGCAAAGAAGCTAGTAATGTTTTGCAGTTCATTTGGAGTGCGTTTTCTCTTCATTCTGAAATTTGAATAAATAATCAACTAAAGCAAGCAAAATTCCCCAGAAAAATTATTTACAAAGATCATTTTACCAAACAAACCACAATTCACATAATCACATATTCACATGGTCAAAAAGGTTCAAACTTCATCTAAAACCCAACAACATTATTACATTAAGGTCATTACTCATTAACAAAAGGTTCAAAGTTTACCAAACAAACAAGTGATTGAAGACTTGAAGTGAACAACTAACAAATCAACCAAAGTTTAATAGAATTAACTAATTAGACTTGATTAAATTGAAGATTAGAATTTTAAACTAAAAATTAGAAATCAACTTACTAGCAAAATGAGAATAGGAGATTAGACTTTAGAAGAAGCGACGAAGCGAAGAGCGGTGAGCGCAGAGCACGCTCTCGACTCTCGAGCAGTGGAGCAGGGCAGCAGGCGACTGCCGACTAGGCGAGCAGCAGGCCAGCAGGCAGTATCACAGCTTGAACAATTAACAAATTCACCATTTCACAGCTTGAAATCACAAGCTCACAGGGCAGCAGGCCAGCATCACAGCATCACAGCTTGAACAAGTATGTAAAGTGTCAATTGTCAAACATTTCACAAATTCACCATTCAGAATTTCATTGAACAATTCACAAAATCACAACAATTAGGGATTATTGAAATTGAGTTGATTATTGAACAATTGAGTTGATTATTGAACAATTAGGGATTTAGGGTTCAAAGAATCAAATTTAGTATTACTAATTCATAACTAACAAGTAATATCAATTATCAACAATTAAACAAATTTAGATGAAGACTAAGTTAATTAATTAATTTATGCGAAGAGGAACTGAGGAAGACGAAGAGGAACTAAAGTGTCAAACATTTCACAAATTCACCATTCAGAATTTCATTGAACAATTCACAAAATCACAACAATATATAACAAAATTAACAATTAACAATAATCAGTACTCAGTAGGCGTCTAGGCAGCGTCTAGGGCCACTGGGCGTCTAGCGATTAGCGAAGCAATCAAGCAATTATCAAGACAATCAAGTTATCAAGTTATCAACAATTAAACAAATTTAGATGAAGACTAACTGAGGAAGACGAAGAGGAAGACTAACCTCACCTGAATTTATGCGAAGAGGAAGACGAAGGGTCGAAGGCACGAACTGCGAGTCTGCGAAGAGGAACTGACTAACTGAGGAGTGAGGAAGATGCTTACTTGCGAAGTTGCGAGTTGCGAACTGCGAAGAGGAGGACTGGAGGAGGCGATTATGGAGGTGAATAGGTGATTGATGATGGCGAAGGATTGAAGCCTTGAAGGGAATTAGGGAAGAGGCGAATTGGCTAGGGCATGAAGGATTGAAGGCCATGAACTGAAATACTGAATTCGTGAATTTGGGAAAACTGATTTTTTTTTTTTTTTTTTTTTTTTTTAAAAATTAACTTAAAATTTTTTTTTGGGCCTGGTGAGTCACTTGACCCACCAGGTCTAAGCCCAAGTCCGCCACTGTATATAGAGAGCATATATTAGCTAGACAGGTTTAATTATTTGTGCTAAGTTGAGGAGGAACTAACACTAATATATAGTATCATAATTAAGCTTAGGTACACGATAGTAGCTAGACTAAAAATGTCTCTCGTCCTTGTCATGTATAAATTAAAAAATGATAAATGTAGCTCTTAATTCCCTTAAGGTTGTATATAATGAGTTGACAACGAAAATGTTCAGCGTAAAATAAACATGATTTAACTCAACATCTAATTTTGTCATACATTTTTGTATTAGTATATATTAGTGAAGCATTTTCCTTTATATATATATATATATATATATATATATATATATATATATATATTCTATGCACAAATGCAATCATAGGGTTACTACATACATCGGATAAGGATAAAATTGAAATATGTTTTAAATTAAGAATATTTATGAAATAAAGTAGTCAACTAAAAAATTTTAAATAATCTAATTTAATAATTATTCCAAAGTGGACCCAAAGCAATGCCTTCATCAACTTTTTCTAAAAGTATAGGTAATACTTTCAACATATTTTTCTGATAAAATCAATTAGTCATTAGGGCAATGGTGATTGGGGCTGCACTTGGTAGGGAAGACCGCGTATTCGATCTCCTACAACAATAATTGGGAGGGGATTGGAACCTAACCACCCAAAACTGATATGAAACCGAATTTGCTCAAAAGGTGAATCGGGTGAAACAAAAAAAAAAAAAAAAAAAAAATCTGATAAATACTTCATCTCATAAAATAATAAATGTGTAATTCATTGATAATTATTAGCTAAAATCTTCATTGCTTTTTCTTGATCTTTTGTTGGACGGACCTAAGCCGTCCTAAAGTGCATACTATTCCACAAAAAAAAAAAAAAAAAAAAAAAAAGCCCCTAAAGTGCATTATATGACTTTAAATAAATGTTGAATCAAGAGAAGATTATGTCTATGTTCATGGAACTAATGCAATCATATTTGAGATATGAATTTAATTTTTTAATTCTCTATGTCAGGTCCCAAGGGTGTAGCAAAAAATGTGGACAGATATATATGTAATATGTTGGGCATGTTATAATTAACACTCGAAATTAGTTTTTTTTTTTTTTTTTTTTTTGAAACATCGAAATTGGTAATTATCAAACCAGTTATTGAAGATCATTTATATTCCACTCTGAGGTCTAATAATATAGGTTATTTACTTCAAAATAAAAATAAACACATATTTTTCCTTACGGAGACTAGACAAATAAACATTCAACACATTTAAGATCATTAAATTAGATCAATTTGAAAAATTGCATCACTTACATTTCGCTATTTTTTATTCTAGTTGGTAATAATAAGAAAAGTGTATCATCGAAACCAAATAGGTCAAATCAATACTTACGCACTAAAAGGGATTGATCCCTCAATTTTTCAATTTCGAATCATGAATTACACATTTTACTTTGTTAGACCAAGGATGTACGAGTACATACTATCAATAGTTAATACACAAATATTTTCGACTAAACTGACCATAATTTTAAGATAATATTACGTATATTCAATCTCTCTTTATGTATCACGTACTATTTTTATTAGTGTAGGAGTATTGTTAGAAAAATATCCTCTTGAAGGAAAAGGAAATGGGAGCAACCTATTGAGGCGTTGACTTTGAAGCTTCAACAGAGTACCAACTACTAAAAGCTAAAAATCTAAAAAAGGAAAAGATAAAAAAAAAAGAGTAAAAACAAAATAAGAAGAAAAAAAGCGTTGACAAATGTGAAAGAAAAGAGATCCAACGGCTGAGATTGTTCAGCGTAAGCTCGGATCCCAAACGTGTCATGCACTTAAAAAATTAACAACTTGAGCTAAACGTCAACGTAAACCTGTACTACTAATACCTCTACTGCCGTTGTCTGATTTATTCACTTATTTATTTTCAACAAATAATTATAACTAACAAAAATAAAATGAAGGTTGAATTTGCAACAAAGTTGTTGTTTCTATTGTTCTTGGTTTCTACCCTTCTTTGTGCTTCTGCTCGTCCCTCTTTCTTCCTCTCAGGTAATTTGTTTTATTTTCTTACTAGTTTTTCCTTTTCGGGTTAGTTATAATAATAAAATCGAGCTATGAGATATTTAGATGAAATTGGGATTCTCTTTAGTATCTAAGCTAGACGGTTCATATATAGGATGGAGTAAAATTCGAAGATATCCATAATCATCGTTGCAAAATGCAAACAACCTTATAGCGAGCCCTATTTTCTTTGTGGTTTCTTTGTTAGCCTCGATCATGGGCTACTTTGTAATTTTGCATGCATGCCATCCACTTTTTATTTATTTGATAATTTCATATAATGTACATGTTAAATATATGTAATATCACATATATTGTATTATATATACTACGTATAATTTTTCATTATAAAGTAATTATTACTAGGAAGTCACTTACAGAAAACTTAGGCTAAAAGTTGGCTAAAATTTAAAAATTGAAAAGATAGATTCTAAACGTTAAAGGTTGTTATGTATAATAAAAGCTGGATTACATATTAGTTGATTATATGCATTTAAAAATTTGATGAAATTAGTTATTGAAGTAAAATAGCTGATAAATCTGATTGTTTATAGAGTGCATATTAATTGTAACTATATGTCAAATTGTTAATTTGTCCAATAAAACTATTATCTTTACTAATAGGCTAAAAAGGGAAATGATTGATAAATATATACGTCATATACAAAGTATGTGAAGTCCCTAGTGTGTTGATTGGTATAAGTAGATTTTTTTGTTTTTGTTTTTTTTTTTTTTTTAACTCAACATTTTTGTATCTTTACTCCTTATATATAGATTGCTCAATTTAGCTTAGGTAGCAAAGTTAAATATAACAACAATTTTAGCAAGTTGAATTTCTTATTACAAGAGGAAGTAGTTTATCATTTCATCTCAATTTCTGCAAATTATCTCTGTTTGTAGCAAGAGAAAACATTTTGGTTGACCTATCATATAAGCTAATTAGTAATTACAGTATGTAGTTGCTTTTCAAATTCCAACTCATCATTTCCCTTATTATATATTCTTCAAAACTAATACGAGTAGCAATATTTTTAAGGCCAAAATATCAAATAATGTAAACTTAGGTCTCTTTCTTAATTTATAAATAATTCATATGCATGAGCTTAAATATAGGCTTTTAAGAGAGAAGAAATAAACTAGGGTTTATTAATTTAATTCCAAGATGTTGATCTATAATCTACATTATGATCACGAGAGTATTATTGAAGGTGCATTAAATGCATAGAATAATTCAACATCCTAGTATATTCATTAAACCGCTAATTATACAAAATAAAAAAATCTCTAATATACATACTAATATAGTGAGTATTTTTAAATATAAAAGTGAAGTTTATATGATAATATTTGATGTATAAAAACAAACACCGTCACTTTGATTAAGTGGTCAGCTGAATTTAAGGGGGCTAAAAGACAAGTTTGGTTCATATGGAAATGCAATGCATCGTAACAAATTCACAGTTCCAATGTAGCATGTAGGAATCTTGTTCTAGACGTTCTCGTGTGTCAATTTCACATTATATTGGGTTAGCTAGATATCAAATTGTTTGGTCATGTTTACCTCGGCCCAAGGACTTTTTTTTTTTTTTTTTTTTTTTTTTTACAAAAAGAAAAAGAGTTTTATTAATAAAAGATAGTCAAACGGCCTGTATTTATAAATAATTTCTAGGAAATTTAAAATTTCAACACAAGTACAAATTATCTTAAAACTAGTTATCTCATAAATTCGTTCAAAGATTGTCTTAGTAAAAAACTTCATCCAAGGACTTGACTTTTTTTTAATTTTTGGAAACCCCTTAACCATTTTAGATTTTATACTGATGTGAAGTTGAAACTAACTAACAAATTAAGTATTTTGTATGTTAGTTAGCCCTTTTTTTTTTCTAAACATATGTTAGTTGAACCCGATAAGAAGATAAGGTTTCATTTTTTTTTTGAATGAAGATAAGGTTTCATTTAGTTATTTGGTATAATTAATTGTTTGATATGAGGAGTTAATAATTTTCAAATAATATTTATGACTAATAAGAAAAGAAGGCAAAGATAGATTAAATAAAGGAAAATGCTATACATAGTAATTAGGGTTACATATAAGCATTAAATACACATTAGAAAATCGTATAAATTTCGGAAATAATAAAAACATAAACACTAATTACACTTATTTACGCGTGTTTTTGTCATGAATTCCTAATTTTATACAATTTTCAAGAGTACATTACCTTTAAATACTCCCTCCGTCCTTTATTGATAGTCCCTTATGGCCAATTTTAAGTCCCAAAATAATAGTCTCATTTGCTTTTTTTAAGTACCATTAATATTAATTTTTTACCAAAATTCCCTCCAATTTGCAACAATATTTGTGCAAATTTAACTTTCCCATATAAATTTTGTTTTTCCATGTACTTTATTACTTTCTCTCTCTACTTTTTGCATACCGAATGTAAATTTACCTTTTCAATGTACTTTTACTACTTATTTATGTTTATTTATTCCCGTAAAAATTGCCTATAAGGGACTATTATTAAGGGACGGAGGGAGTAAATATTCTAAATTCCTTCACTTTATATTCAAAGTAATACTCCGTATTTCAATTTAAGTCCATTTCATTCATTAGCAAATTTAATGTTATTTAAGATACATGACAAACAATTATGGAGTACAGTATAACAATATATAACGCTTAGATCCTTAAGTTTCAGTACCTCATTATTTTTATGAGGATCTTGCTAATGAATGCCCCCGGGGGTTAGATAAGCATTTAAAATAGAGGGAGCCCCAGTTTCTCATAGTGAGAAACAAAATTTGTTTCTCACATAACATTTTTGTAAATAAACCAACAACTTTATTCAATTGTGGAGCCCACAATAATGAAAAAGTTGTTGATTTATTCACGAAAATGCCCCCATGAGAAACAAATTTCGTTTCTCACTATGAGAAATAGGGAATTCCCTTTAAAATACTTCCTAAAGTGGTATTAATTTGGGAATGCATGCAAAAATCACACGTCAATCGGTATAATTAATATTCATTTTAATTTTATATTTCTATTTTTAATTGTCTTATCCAACGGCCTTAAAACATTCGTTAGTTTTTTCATTTAAAGAGCATATTTTCACGCATATAAATATTATAGGATAATTTATGATTTCGAATGTTGCATACTCTGTGATAAGCTACTCCGTACATAGCATCTTTATAAATATTGTGTTTAAGAATGAACATTTAAATTAATTAACTCTATGTTAATGTTGAATGAACAGAAGAACAAGGGGTAGAAGCAAAGCCAAGAATGTTGAGGACATTTTTCTTAAATGATTATGATAAGCCATCGGCCAACCGTATGCATGATCCGGGCAACCGTATGGGCGGTCACGGTGGTGGCGGACGACACTAATTAAATTTTTGATTCATTAATTTGATTCCTTTTCATCTTAATTAATTAATTAAGCCTGTTAATTTTGTTTTGTTTATTTGTTTGCTTAATTAAGTATGTACGTACGTATCTCGTTGACTTAATAATTGTAATCTCATAATTGTACATGCATGACGTGATGTACCAGTGAGCAGTGACAGTTATGTTGCAGAGAATTTAACAAATTTTATTTGCAAATAATAATATACACTGATCAAACTTAGCTTGCAGCATGCATGGATTTTGCATTTGATCATGTATTACTATGTTACTTGTAAGGCTTATGTAATAAACAAGATGGAATGGATCCTTTATTGTCTTATGCGAGGAAATAAAATCGATTTCGTCCCTTTTATTGTCTATGACCTCTATGTTGCGTGACACTTTTCTTTGCTCAATTGTTTCGTTCCTCTAATTCTCTTCACTGTACAATGTATTATACGCTGTATTTATATACAATAGAAGATTTGATGATTCTATGAAGAAATTTAATTCTAATTATGTTGATTATAACTATGACTAATTATAAATTGTAAAAGTTCCGGATAGTATGTGAATGAACCAAAATAATCCATGATCTTGGAGATTACCTAGATTGGATAATTTGGACAGGCAATCCAAAATATCAAAATCACAATGCAAGGTATAAAATCAAAAGGATTCAAAACGACCAAAAAAAAAAAAGAAAAAGAAAAAAAAAGGGCTAAGGCCAGCTGCTGGGACATCTAGATAGCCGCCACCTATTACATCAGCCGCTAAGTCATTCCATAATTTGTGGAAAATTAAAAAAATCCAAGGTAAAATTCCATTTTTCTTAGATTTATTAATTTTATAATATGGGGAAGTATTCTATAATTGTTAAGCCCTACCTTGTGCACTTATGGTCATTATGGCTCAATTTTTTTTTTTTTTTAAAAACAATTAATTTATTAGTTAAAGCCATACGACATCTAAGAATAAAATATTAATTTATCAAATGAATAAAAACAAATCAAACATAACCCCACATACTATCGTTATGACTTGTCTTTACATGTTTGACTTCTCTATTAGAGTGTGGGGTTAGAGATGATTTAGATGTATAAACTAATGTAATTGCGACAGATTAAAGTCTTATGATTGTAATTAGTAAAGATTTTATTGATGTTCTAGGCTTGCCATCCTTATGCAGTTATGGGTAATGGGCGTATGGCTCATTTAACTCGATAGACTTCTTTAGTTCTTTATTAGAGGATAATTTGGAGATGAGCAAGATGTACAGAATGATGTAATTACAATGATTATTGATGTTCGAGGTTAGTTGTTAAGCCGTGCATTGTCTAATTGTTACTAGTATATACGGGTTTATAAAGTGTTAGTTATTTTCTGGTCCCCAAATTTTTTTTACGGGAGTAATAGTTTTTTTGTTTCAATTAAATTCAATTATAAATTTCATTTTTTGACTGAATTAAACAATTTCAACCTGCTCTAAGAATATTCAAGGTTTACCAAGCATCTTCCTACTTTCATGGAAACTCACCTTTCTTCCATTCCTTTCGCTCCAAGTTCTCAACTACCACAACAACTACATTAAAACCTGCATTTCATCTTCAACAACAACAACATAATTTCTAAAATTAGAAATCAAAATCATGTCATCAATCTTAAGAAACATTCTAAAACCCTCAATTCTAAAATCAACAAAACCCCACTTTCCAATTTCATCATCTTCAACACTCTACACTTCCCTCTTCTCTTCTTCTTACTACTCAACCTCCACTACAAATGGGAAAATGTATGGTGGGCTTGAGCCCACGAAGCCCAATGAAAAGCCCAGGTTGGTTGTATTGGGCTCAGGATGGGCCGGGTGTAGGCTCATCAAGGAGATTGATACCAAGATATACGACATCGTTTGTGTATCACCTAGGAATCATATGGTGTTTACTCCATTGTTAGCTTCAACTTGTGTTGGAACTCTTGAGTTTAGGTCGGTTGCTGAACCAATTGGGAGGATTCAACCTGCTATTTCTAGTGAACCGGGTTCTTATTATTTTCTTGCTAATTGTTCTTCTGTTGATACCAAAGATCATGTGGTATGAATTCTATTTTTGTTCTTGTTTAATCTTAAGAATATGAAAATTTGGATTTTTTTTGGTTTTTGGATCATGGGTATTTATATTAATTGTTAGTTGAAGTGAATGATTAATGATGTATATGTTGGCATCAGCAAAGTAGTCATAATGTAGACGGGATTTGATCCGAGGTCTTGGTTAATGGGTAAAGTACCACCCTCCAAGAGTGTAGCTAGTGTCCTATATGATGTGAAAGTATTAGGTTGGAACGTTCATAGATTAGGACATGTGAATACTTTTAGTTCTTAATTTTCTTATTTAGGGTTATGAGCATGTAGTTTCCTGATTTTTTAGTAGTATGAAGTAACAATTGATGTAGGAGTATGTGATTGGGCTTTAATTGATAGAAAATGTTAAACATTTTGGCTCTTACTTTCCCATTTAATGCTAGTTTGGGATTTTGAATCATTTTGTATTTGAATTTTAGAAAGAATGGACTACGGAGTATGTAAATATACAGTTTAGAAAAATTGGGACCATCCTATTGGGTTGTTACTAATTTGTTAAACAAAATTTGAGATGCAAACAAGGACTCGAGGAGAGAATTTCTCCATTTGTGAGTATTTGTTGAGTGGTGCTGTGGCTAAGTGTATGAAAGTTGGAAAATTTTATGATAATTGTTGAAACTGTATCTTATTCAGATGATTTTGGACGGTGAAATTTGAGTTGGATGGGGGGAATGAGATAGCCTATCAATTATATGCATGTGTAATGATGAACTTGTACATGCTTTAAATTGAGTGCATATTGGCTTAGGAGCTTAATCAAGGTCTTCTTGTTTCTTCTATGCTGATACGATATCTCAGTGGTCAGAAGAGCTTATCGTTGGTTAATTTGGGGTTGGTGATACGTATGTTAGGTACATTGTGAGACTGTCACAGATGGGGCACAGGCATTGGAACCATGGAAATTCAATATAGCATATGACAAATTGGTTGTTGCATCTGGGGCTGAAGCCTCAACATTTGGAATCCATGGGGTGCATGAGCATGCAATTTTTCTTCGTGAAGTTCATCATGCCCAGGAGATCCGTAGAAAATTACTCTTAAATCTGATGTTGTCTGATATACCCGGTATAGAACACAAGATTGTTAAATTTCTTTTCAGTCTTATATACGCTGATTTTAAGCTCTTCATGGGATTTCTGACCTATTTGGCTGGCTATTCTTGTGCTGCTAGGTGTCCCCGAGGAGGAGAAAAAACGGCTCTTGCACTGCGTCGTTGTGGGTGGTGGTCCTACTGGTGTTGAGTTTAGTGGCGAGCTTAGTGATTTCATAATGAAGGATGTACGTCAAAGATATGCACATGTCAAAGATTACATCCATGTCACCTTGATCGAGGTTTGAATTTACATTTCCATGGAGTATTAATTTAAAAAATTACTTGATTGTCATGGAGTGGCTTCCCTATATGTGTTTGGTTAAAGCTATAGTTTAAGCTAGATCTGTTCAAACTGCTGGTGAAGGGGTCTGCTTATATCCTTTTAACAATCTTGCAATTCAACTTGGTTTCATTCCATATATGATGATTTACTGAGTAGCAGAACTGCCCTTTCTTTGCAGGCAACCGAAATTCTATCTTCCTTTGATGACCGCCTCAGACACTATGCTGTAAAACAGCTGACTAAGGTGAGAAATTATCTGATGAAATAATATTCTGGTCCTGCTCCAAGCCAAAGTGCTTGCTTCCTTTCGTACATATGTCTATGAAAGATGTTGATCATGTGTTCATGCTCAGAATACCAGTGGTTATATCAGCATTTGCTTAGTTAAACCTCAATAACCCACCATCTGTTAGGTATATCATTACTTAATCAATTCTTGTACATTCCGACAGAATTCCTGACCAAGCTCTTGTAAAATGGAGATAGCAATTGTGGAGGCACTAGTAAATGCTTAAAATGTTCTCACAAAATATATTTGTTTCTATAATGCACCAAGACTATTTTCTGAACTTTGAGCAACAGTCTGTATAAATTTTGCAGCTTGTTTTCTCTTGGTTGTCCCAGAAATATGATTATTAATGTTACTTGTTAGGGCATTTATACCTGAATTTCACTGTCTCAACTTTCTAAACTTTATAGTTAGTAAATTTTAAAACAGAGTAATTCAGTGTTTTATGCATAAGGGCTATATCATAGATGTTACTGAAGCAATTTCTCTTTATCACTCTCTGGTCTTAATTGAATAGTTTCTCAGTCAGGAGTTCGACTAGTCCGTGGAATCGTCAAAGATGTACAACCTGATAAGATAATTCTTAGCGATGACACAGAGGTTCCATATGGTCTTTTAGTATGGTCTACAGGTGTTGGCCCTTCACCATTTGTCAAAAATCTTGAAGTAGAAAAATCGCCTGGTGGAAGGTCAGTCATATTCCCTCTTGAATTTCGTTTGGTGTACCTCATATTTATTACAAGGTCGTTTGTATATTTTAGTGTTGCAGTTGAATGTATAAAGGCCTAAGAAATCACTCTTTGATCCTCAAAGATGCCCAAGGCACAAGGGATGGCAAAAGCCACGAGCCAAGGATAAGGCATAAATTACCTCATCCTTACAAAACACTTACATATGTCAATAGAGGGTAGCCTCCTCGTCTTAAGGGCATTTTTAGGGGAGGCAAGGCTTGACATGGACAAAGTTGCGGACCAAACATGATCTTGAAGGGAGACAAAGTTATGAGCTAACACATGATTTAGATGGCTTGGGGCACCTAATAGGCCTCCCATGGTCCGTTGGGAAGTATGGGAAACATCTCAATGCTTAACCTTTGTCAGGTCCAAAAATGTTGTGCAAAGGCTAAATTGAAGGCTATAATACACGAAATCAAACCATTTATAGAGAATTTTGGGACCCAGTGTCATGTACTAAGTAATTGTAGGGGGTGCATCCCAGAACCATAAAAGTTGTTTGGATCCATATTCGTCCACTAGTCGGTCACATAAAAGCCTTTGGTGGCCATGAGTCATTTGTTTGGTGCAAGTGTGAGTAGTGTTTGTCCCGATTGAAAAAGAAAGCAAAGGTCTTTCAGTTTATAACCCAAGCGGGCTACTCCTCCTATTGCCAATTGGTTTTAGGATGGAACCTCGATGTGGGCTCTGGTTTGTGGGCTTATGGGTTTCTCTCCCTTGTGTTCTCCCCCATGTGTCATAACATCATTAATGGGAGGCGTATCCATAACTAGCTATGTTGATAGTTACGAGGCAATGTGGATAGTTCAGAACACTCAATTAGTCTCCCAAGGTATCATGGGGTCCATGGGAAACACCGAAACACTTTTTTTTTATATTCTTTTTAGGTCCAAAAAAGTCTATAATTCTTTATAATTGAAGGTTATAATCTATGCTTTTTAGATCAATTATGGGATTTTTTATCCGTAATTGAAGTGGATGTGGAGGGTGTCTTGACTGTCTTCCGGGGTCATAAAAGTTGGTTTAGAACCTAACATATTTATGAATAGATATATTAGTTCTCAGAATAAGTTTGATTCAATGATATGGATGTTTTGGAAATTTGTTGTAGTAGTAATCAAATGCTATAAGAGATGGTTTCAATCCCCTAATAAACATCTCGCAATCTCATTAAGGTGTTGGGAATCCATTAAGCTTTTGGTTGAGTTGGTCCTTTTTATGGTTTGAAATTTCATGTTGTTTAGTGTTGGATTTTGTATTTTACTAATGCTTTTACTCTGTATTCTAATAATATTTGTTTACTTTTACAGGATTGGTATCGATGAATGGCTACGTATTCCCTCTGTTCAAGATATGTATGCAATTGGTGATTGTGCAGGCTTTCTTGAAAGCACAGGCAAACCAGTTCTCCCTGCTTTGGCGCAGGTAATGTACACAAGTTAAATTTATGTGCGAAAAAGAAAACTTATGTTAATCCTTTTTACTATCTGGGTATCAAGACCTTTGAGAAGAGGAGTTATGCATTAGATAAACTGAAGGATTGATGGCTTACGCTGTATCTTAGTTGCATATTGGTTTCGGAATTCCATAGACTTAGCATTAAGTACAGTCAACAAATGTTCAACATGAGCGTGTAATTAAATACTGTCTAAACCGGCTATCTTTTTTCGTCTGCTTAGTCCAGATTAAAAGGCCAAGTGTCCATGCCTTCTCAATATTATGAGCATCTTATGCAGGTAAATAATGTGAATCAAGAGTCTACACCAGGCTGCTCTACAAGTCACTAGACCTTAATCATAGGCAACCTAAGAAACAGTGAGGCTTCACATTTCAAATTGTAGTTTGTGTTATCTCATAAATCTTGATGTTTTGAACTTGTGAATCAGAACAAAACTTATTTCAGTCATCTATAATGATTTTTAAATTTCATATCTAAGAAATGGTTTCTTTGTTCCAAATAATTAATCACTTCCATGTGTAATGCTCCTCCACTCTTCAAGTAGTAGATTTTTATAATTTTGTTTTAAGAAAATCCATTGATCTTATATGAAGTAGCTTCTTGTCAAAGAGATACACCATCTACCACAGAAGACCATATTCAATGAAGTCAATCCAGAAACTAAATCCCTAAAAGCTCGTGATTAGAAGGGGTAAAAGAACTCCCAATGGAAAAAAATTCTCTCCTGATAACAGTATTTTTTTTGGATTGAACCTAAAATTAGATTAATAACTCACAATTAGCAAGTACCAAGTAGAAGTATTGCATCTTTAAGTTAAACTATTTTCTTGCTTTGCTTCTGTAGCTTGACTTGATCTTAAGAAGGATTGTTTATCCAGCTTTCTCCTTCAGCTTCTGGTCATGATGTTTTACCTTATAAAGAATGTGATGATAACTTGTTGCAACAGGTAGCCGAGCGACAAGGGAAATATTTAGCTAAGTTTTTGAACAGGATTGGAAAAGCTGGTGGCGGTCATGCAAATAATGCAGAAAATGTTGATATGGGAGATCCTTTTGTATACAGACATCTAGGGTCAATGGCAACTATCGGTAGATACAAGGCACTTGTGGACCTTAGGCAGAGCAAGGTGATACTATTGATGTATAAAAAAATAGGGTTCCTTTTATGAGCTACAAACACATTATTCACATATTAGCTCATTTTCTTCAGGAGGCAAAGGGCTTGTCATTGAAGGGTTTCCCTAGTTGGTTTATCTGGCGATCTGCATATCTTACTCGTGTTATTAGTTGGAGGAATCGGCTCTATGTTGCCATTAACTGGTTGACTACTCTTCTTTTTGGCCGTGACATAAGCCGAATATAGAAACTGCCATAGCAGAGCCTGCCACTGTAAGAGCCTTCTCATATTTTATTTTTTTCCAAATTATTGTGACTTCTGATTTTTTTTAAAAATTATTTTCTTTTATTTTTGCTAATTGTAAGCAGCTGATACTTGCTAGGACTAATCTCGTTGATTACAGCGAGCATAACCTAGATCTTATGCCTTAATTCAGGAAAGCATCAGGCATTCAGGCTCATACATAAATCTAATAGCTAATCTGCTCCTGAACATAACTCTATATAGAACATCACTTTAGGTGATTATCCTGATGTTCTTTTAATGTTTTAAAAGATTTATATATATGTTTGAAAGTGTTTCATAAGGCTTTAAGCATGATTGCCTCTACGGGCATCTTGAGTGTCTTTTGACATTGAAGGTGCTCCTTTTTAAACGTTATATTAACCTCATATTAAGTTTTATTTTTCTTTTTATATGCTTTTAATTATATTAGGAAGCTCAGAAATATTGTCACCTTTCTTAAGATAATCATGTTTCATTACTGCCTTTAAAGCGAGTGACGGATGAGTTGGATGAGTTGTGGAATAGTGAAAATTAATATAAGAGGTGCCTGTTATGAAAAATTCAGAGGATTTATAGCTTAATTTTGTAATTTGCTATTTGTAATAACACTACCTTTAATTATAAACAATATTATGTGCCTTGTTTCGTCCAAGCACTAGAAAAAGTACTTGAATGATCACTTGATTTTGTTTTCAATGTATCATTATTTCTTTCAAACAAGCTGCCACTTACAATATCGCCATATTTTGGGGAATTGAAGGTCCTACTGGCCCAGAATAACTTAAAGGATTCCTCATTATCGATGGTGATTGATCATAATATCATGATAATAATACATCTGGAGTCTGGACTTAGCGGGTAATAAAGAGGTCCCCTTTCTTTGGAAAACAACTGGTACACGTTTGGCATTTGTCTTTTGCCTAAGTGCTGAGACTCTATTTGTTCTGTTTGCCACAGTTGCCTCAACCCTTTGCCCTTTCAAACTATGTCTTAATCCCACAACAAGTGAGTCTCTTAAACTTGAGCTTAGCCACCATATGTCCATGTATGATAACACCCAGCTAGTATGGCCTAGTGTACATGCCGAGGGATAAATTTTTGTTGTGTGTAATGAACACCAACAGCTTTCTTCTTGTGGGTTTTTTTTTTTTTTTCTTTTTGTTTCAGGTGCGGAGGTGAAGGAGGTTTTGGAGGGGGGGGGGGGATTGCTGGGCTTTGTGACCGGAATATGCCTTGATGCCTTTCTTTGCCATATATTTCATAAAGCTTATTCCGAGTACATTCACATAATGCAACATTGTCACATACATTTTTACATGTCTGGATGATCAGGTTTGTTTAATATATGCCCTTAGTCTGAGTTATTGGAGATTATAAATGCATTAACTCACTAAAATGATAAGAGTTATGAACATTCCTTAATCATGAGAGGTTGAGACAACGTGACTAGTGCTAATTTCGGACATTGGAAGTTAAATTGAACAACTCTTGGGTATTACATTATTACAGCTCTTAAATTGCAATGCATTTATCTCTTGATGTTGTGAGTTGCATGGTTTGTCTAATTTCTATTACCAACGTGTATTGATCTCAGGAGTCAGGAATCTCGTTCTGCTCGCGGGTTTTAGCTGTCAGCGGCAAATACAGCATAGCAAAACCAAAGATATACTTACAGAAAATTACTACCACTGTCTTCTTTTGTAATATCTGTTAGTTTTCAGCAGTCCATTTATAGACTGATAAATGACAATAATGAAAATTTAACTGAGGAAGGATAGAGATGCTATATGTATCAATATATGCAAATGATTCTTAGTATAATTGTAAATTTCTTGTCATTTTATTTTTTCTTTTCTTTGGAAACTGCAGCCTGATTTCGTAGAATGTTCTTTTTTCTTTTTTTTTTTCCAATCAAACTGGAAAGCTGAACTTTGTCCCGCTGAAAGTTTCAAGCTTGAAATTAGCAGCCTTTGTTTTTCTAAGTGTTACTTTTGTGTTCAATGCAGCAAGAATTTTTACTTTAATGTTGCAAAATTTATTGATTGAATGTATTTGCTTCTCCTTTGTTTTAAGCTAAACAGTGTACAAAGCCTTAAAGGTTACAAATAAGGAGCTAATAGTGAAAAAATAATGAAATAAAACACTAATTATATCAATCTATGTGTCATTTTTGTCGTGTATTATCTTAAATTAAGTATAGGTTTGATCGATCCATCATAAATAAAACTACCTTTTGATAATCACCCAATAAAACGACATTTGTACATGATCTTCCAAGGACGGACATGTGTCACATTATGATTGAGTAGATATATTTATTTCAATTTTAACATATTTCTTTTTAAAAAAAGAATTAATTTATAAAAAAATTAATTAAAAAAAAAAAAAATCCTTACCCTCCAACCACCTTCCCCCCCCCCCTTCCAAAATCCGGCAGCAACACACCACCGCCCAGCCACCACCTACCTCAAAGAGTCACAGCCCAACCTTCTCTCAACCGCACAACTCCAACCTCCACATTTCCACCACCATGCCGCAACCGAACAGCCGCGCAAAACCGCTCAGCAGCACCGCAAGCAACCCGCAACCGCCGCTTTCTTTCATGCCCATCATCACCGAGCTAATCTCAGCCACTGTTCGACCTCCACCACCAACAATCGCACACAATCAGCAGCGGCGAAAACTCCGGCCACCACCAAACCGCACCAACGGAGCAGCTCACAGCAATTTAGGCCCCAAAAACAGAGTAAATCGCAGCCCAAACCCGCTACCTCTCCCTCCAAAATTCGGCGGTGACGGTGTGGGGATTCACGGGAATGGGGGTTCACATAAATGGGGGATTCTGTTTTTTGTTTTATTTTTTTTCTTTTTTGTAAATTAAAATCAATTTTTTTTAGTAAAATCAATTTTTTTAAAATAAGAAAAATGTTAAAAAAAAAAAATAACCAATTACAAAGTGACACATGTTATACTAACCCATTATACAGGTTACCAATCAGTTTCGCCCCATTTATGGAAGATCATGTGCAAAGGTTGTTTTATTGAAAGATTATCAAAAGGTGGTTTTATTTTATAGCCAAACGGGTAAAAGTTATTAAATGTTTAGTTGTTGTCACAAGTGTTATATATATCATTAATGTGTTAAAATTTTCAATCATCACCATATGTGGCAAATGATAATTTGATTTCATGAGCATGGTAAAACATTTTATTAAATAGTTAACCTCTATATATGGATAAGTGTATCAGTTTGACTTTTGTGTTATTCACATATTAACTTTGACTTTTATATTTTGAGATGATAGTATTACTCTTTCATTTCTTTGTATCTATAACCTTTTGACTTTTGGTGATCAATTTTTAATAACTTTGAAGTTTGAATCACAAATATACACTTTTAAACCATATCCTATGAAGGTTGATTATACAAATAGAAATTGATCACCATAACAAACTTGTGGTCTTGATGAGATGACAGTCTCAGGGCAACAATATGAAATACGGAGTATCATAATGGAGTATTCATCTTGAAATAATTTTCCAGCGTTATCTATTTTTTTAATGAATTATTCATTTATTCATATCTAATTATTATTCGTAGTTTAAAATTCAAAGTTGACTTACTTAAAAAAAAAAAAAAAAGAAAGACCATAATATCACCGAAAATGAAACTTAAAAAGTCTTACTAAGTCAACATTTGACTCACTCTCCTCTTCTTCTTCCTCCTTCCTCCACTTTCTCTCTCCTCCCATTTTCTCAGACTCAAACTCAAAAACACGGCATTTCCACATTAACACTCACATTCACATCAAACTCCATTTCCACACTAAACGTGTTCACCACGTCAACCACGGCCTAAACCCTAGGAGAGAGAAAATCTCCAACAAATGTAAAAATGGCGGCTAAACCACCATCATCACCGGCGGAATCAATCCACCGGCAACTCGAAACTCTCTGTAACTCCGACGACTCCATTCCATGGGAACCTCCTCGTCGTTTCACCTCCTACGCCGGTCGCCTTCACCGCATTACCGGAAACCTCCTTCGTCTTTCGCCGGAGATTCTCTCTTCTCCGACGGTTCATACTGCTCTTAAAGGAATCTCCGGTGACCTTGTTAAAGCTGTTGAAACGGTTTCGGTTTATAGGGAGAGAAGCAAGATTTTTGTCCTCATCAATTGCCGTTCGTTGTGTTCTTCTCTTCAGGATCGAACGGCTGCGATTGGTGGATGGCTTGCGTTGCTTGAGACTGGTCTCAAAGATGTTACCGATGTTCGGAAGAAGGTTTCGGATCTTTCTAGAGATATGAAGCAAGCTCAATTCTCTGTAATTTCTATCTCTTTCTACAATTTATTTATTTATTTATTGATTTAATTGGTTTTTGTTGGATTTTATTTGTGAATTAATCAGTTATACTAGAAATTGTTAATTACGCGAAGTTTATGAGCTTGTTTTATTAAACTTTCTATGTATAGGTTCCGAATTCTACTGAAATTATAAAATGTTAAGTTCAAAACTGTCAATTTTATTTGATTTGATGTATACCTGTTTACTCCTTTTGGCTGTATAATTCGTACTCCGTATAAATTTTTGTGTATTGTTAATATTGATATTTGTGGAAATCTGTCAGAATTTAATACTGAGTTTCCATATTTAGTCATTCCGAAATTGTTGCAATTTTTTTCTTTTAAATTTTTTTTATTTTAATCCGCTTAACTTTGGAATTTCATGATTGTGTATAATAATTGTCGAACATTTCATTTTACTTGACAGTTAGTTCCAATTGAGTTGATGGGAAATTATTTGAGCTGAAACATTGTTTTTTTTGCCCCTACCACCTGATAAATATAAAAGAAGCTTCGGCTATTGGTGTCGTCGTCTGGAATATCTTCAAGCATCTTGTTAATATTAGCTCATGGTCCTTTTGTTGTATAAAACAGAAGTGGGGAATCGAGGGAATATGGTTGACCATAAGCTAGTAAAGCTTAGGTGTAGTTATGAGGAACTGTGGGTGTTGAAGAAGTCAAGGGTGTGACTTCAGCTTTTAACATTGATTCTTTTGTTTCGAATGAAGCTTGTTCATGCTCTTTCCCATGCAATAAAATATTCAAGTACATAATTTTTTGCCCTTATCTCTGGATGGGTTTCAAACTTATCTTGGAGTTATGAATTTTTGTATTAGGTGACAGAGAATGAAATGAGAGTGTACAGCACACTACAGAATGAAGGGCAAGGGAGGCCGATAGCCAAACCAGTTCAGAGTGCTATAATTATGGATTTGGCTCGAGCTCTTGGGATTGACCCCACCAATCATGCTGAGCTATTGGAACACGTTAAGCTCTTGAAGAATGATCTTGCTCGCTCTAATTCAGTGTCTGAGAGGCGGATTCTTATGTCTTTGCAGCGAGTTATTGACAGCTGGTCTGCTGAGCCAAACATATCAGCTCTAAGCTTAGATTTTGATATGGAAGATGAATCTCAGATTTTGCCTTTCAAGAATTTCATTTGTCCATTAACCAAGGAAGTTATGAAGGATCCTGTGGTGTTGGAGTCAGCACAGACTTATGAGAGGACTGCAATTGAATACTGGTTTCAGCGTTGCTTGGAGGATGGCAGAGATCCCACTTGCCCTGTCACGGGTCAGGTGCTGAGGTCATTAGAGCAGCAACCAAATATTGGCTTAGCTGGGGCAATTGAAGAATGGGTGAACAGAAATGTTGACATTCATATTAAGTCGGCTGTGAAACATCTTAGCAAGGATCCACCATCTATGGATTTTGTTGAACGGGTTTTGGATAGTATTTATAAGATATCAGAAGAGCATCCATCAAGCCGATATAAAATTAGAAATGCTGGCGTCGTCCTTCTAATCATTAATCTTCTCAAAAATTGCTCCAAGAGCATCTGTTCTGCTTTGAAATCCAAAGCTCTTATGGCTTTACTTAGTATGGCAAAGGATGAAGACAGTAAGGTTAGTGCCACATATTCTATTTTAAAAACCTCCTTTGCATCATGTCTTCCTTAAACCTTTTCATACTGCAATAATAGATGTCACCATATTTTCATGAAGAGGGAAATATGTTTGGATGATTTGGATTGGCTGGCAACTCTTGGCGACTGTGAATTTGAAAGAAAATTTATAAATCCATCTATAATTTTGTAGCAACTTTTGTTATTATATAATGAATGGAAACTTCATGCTTGAAGCTATATTCACGTGTGTGATGTGCTTGCACTTTTTCTAGTGGAGATGCTTCTTGTGTGTGTATTTGTTGTAAGTTTGAACTAAGATTCTGGCATATTATTCAATGTTACTCTAGATTTCTCACTATCTGCTATCACTTACTTACATTTGAAAAACCTCTGTAACATATCTCTCTGATATGTAACTAATTTTTGTATAATTCTAGACAATTATGATAGGGGGAGGCATAACAAAATTGGCAATAAAAAGCCTTGCTGGGAGCACAGAGAAAGAGAAAGAAAAAGAAAATGCCCTGAGGTTGCTGATTGAATTTACAGACAATGAGGCTTATTGTGCTAAAATTGCATCTGAGAAAGGTGCATTTCTGCTTCTTTCAAGCATGGCAGAGAACTTGGAGTGTCCCACTTTGTCCAACATAGCAGAGGACGTGCTAAAACGTCTAGAAGTAATTGATGAGAATGTTGAACATTTGGCTGCAGCAGGAAGATTTGAGCCTCTACTAAGTCGACTATGTGAAGGTGGGTATGATTATTGTAATCAATTCACCCCTTGCATTTCCTGTGTTCTTGTAAAATTTGCTTAAATCACACTTTCATTGTATTAGATAAAGTATATCTTTGCTCAACATGTTAATTTCCACTATTGCCTATTCTTTATCAGATCTATTATGCTCTCCTGTTCTTGATATCAAATCTTGTTCCCGTGATAAGCAGGTTCTCGTGACATTCAAATAGAGATGGCATCATTGTTGGGAAAAATGACTTTGACAAATTGCAGTAAAGAACAAATTGCAAATCGAAGTGCAAAAGTTCTTGTTGAAATGCTGCATAAACCAGAAACTCGAGCAGCAAGTCTTCATGCATTGTGTAACCTTTCATCTTTGGATGACAATGCAACTATTCTTGTTGAAGCTTCTGTACTTCCAGCTGTCACAGACATTATCCTTGAATCCCAGGATGTCCTTTCAGAGCAGAAGGAGCTGGCTGCAGCAATAATTGCCAATATTGTGACAAGTCCGGGGCACTGGGAATTGGCAGAGGTAAACAAGGACGGACATTTAATGCTTTCGTCCTTCGTTGTTTCTCACCTGATGCGACTTTTACCTCAAGTAACCCCTCAGTGCCAAGTGTCTATTCTTCGTATCCTCTGTGGAATTGCTTCTTCTCCCAAAGCATGTGGTATGTTCTTTCTGACTTTCTTTGTTTAATATTTCCCTCAAAATGAGGATTGCAGCTTTGGTTGCTAAATGCTATGTTGTTTTGTTATCATGTCTTCTGTTTGTAAAGTTAATTGTGTTCACGTACTGCTCATAATGTGCTCCCATACTTGGCATTATTGCTACTTCTAGAATTTTTCAAGAATTCTCAAATCTTATGCACTTTGTTCTGCATGTTGTGCTCCAAACATACATTTGTGATGTCCTTTAAGGTGGTTACTGGTAATGGATTTATAATACTCTCTCTGCCCCATATTAGTTGTTATCTACGGAATGAAAAAAAAATCAGGGAACATCGTTATTGTAACGTTTCCCCTGTTTATATTGGTTATGACCTTATAGCCATTAGTTTTGTGGCTTTTAATTGATTTACATTACTATTGGAAACTCGACAACTGATTTGGGACGTATAATTAAGGAAATTTTAACAACTAATATGAGACAGAGGGAGTAATTCAGTTAGAAGAGCTTCATACCAATGCCCATGATAATCCTTGTCCACCTCAATTACCTCTATTTCTTCCTAAATTTCCATTACCACTTCAGAGGTGGTATTGAGTGGCAATGAAAATTTATGAAGATAACTGCATGCTTGGGATGAAGCTCCCTTACCATGGTATGGCATGGGGCTGTTCTTGCATTATATTACCGCCTACCTAACAGGCACTAAAGGTCTTAAAGTTCAGGTCATGGTTGGCTATGTGTTTGCACTGATCGTTGGCTCGTTGCTTTGATTGTTGATTATAGATAGTTATTCCCTGGACTTAGTCATTTCCTGGACATAGTTTTGAATGTTATTGTGCCTGTACGTTAATAGAGACAATACTTTGATAGAGACAAACACACTAACATTTTTGTATTCATGTATCAGACCAGGTTGCAACTGATATAAAATCTGGGGATGGAATCAAAAGCATTATGGAATATCTTGAACACCCTGAAACGCAACATAGAATCTATGCTCTCAAACTTATGAGGATTCTATCTGAAAGTTCTGGTGGAGAATTTTTTGATCAGCTCAGACTTCTGAACAAAGTCGTCCTTCTAAAAGAGAAAGTGCTAGACAATCAGTCAACAAATAGTGAGCGATCTGATGCTGCTTGTATACTTGCAAATTTTACTCTTTCAGGTGATGAAGTGAGGACAATTTTAGGAGCTGCTTTCCTGAAATGGACAGTTACAACCCTTAAAGAAATTCAGCACACTCCCAATGGAAGAACTTCAAGGTCATCATCAAGTATGCTAGAAGGGCTTCTTGGTCTTTTACTCCACTTTGCCAGGAATACCAACGCACAGACATTGGCTTGGGTTAAGGAACATCACCTCATTGCGATCTTTCGTGAGCAATTGAGTTACCTTTCACGCCCAAGATGCAAACATCTGGCAGTTCTTGGATTAAAACACTTGTCAGAATCTGGCAAAGTTCTTGTTTCTGAGGGAGAATCAGACCCACTACCTCCACAAGGATTCTGCTCTTCCATGGTATTCATGTGTGGTAGATTATCACCCGAACTCTCCAGATGTCCAATACACAATGCACCTTGTGAAGAAGACAGTGAGCTGTGCTTGCTCAAGAGCAACTGCATCAAACCCTTGGTTGACCTCCTCCTTGATGAGCACACGGATGTCCAAATTGCGTCTGTAGAGGCACTTTCCTCTCTTATCCCGGATACATTTTATAGTTTTAGGCGTGCTGCTGATGAGCTTGATCGCCTGGGTGTGGCAGATGCTGTAGTTGCTCTTTTCATTGAAGTTCGGCCTGGAGAACTTCAAGAAAAGGCAATATGGATGGTGGAGAGGCTCTTAAGAGGGGAAAGCACTAGCCAAAGATTTGCTCTTGACCAGACTTTAGTCAGGGCATTAGGGGAAGCCTTAAAGCATGGAAATGCTAACACAAGAAAAATTGCTCAAGACGCTCTTACCAACTTAAAACAGTTATCTGGTGCTAGTGGCAAGATTTCCGGACCCTTGCGTCCATGGAGGTAGTCTATTTTGTTCATTGTATCCTGTTGTATTTTTACATTAGTTAGTGGGTGTATTTTTAGTGAAACCCACAGCTTTGTATAATTTATTGTTGTCTATACACAATGTAAATTGTATTACTACAAATCAGTTAATTTGTTGTAGGTTTCCTTGTTACATCAATGTGGCTTTCTTTCTCTTATACGGCCCCTGTTTTTGAGCCAAATTTAATTGCCTAAAAACGTCCTTCAGAAAAAAGTAAAGACAGAAACACCGATGCAATGGAAGCATAGCCAAACAGTTTTCCAGCAGAAAATAGAAGTCGGAACTCAGAAGTATATATAACAATCAATTGATCATTTTACTAATTCAAACAAATTACACTTCATTAAAAAATATCACATCTGTTCAAGTTTCCCTCTTTACTAATTCAAAATTCATGTACACAGGTAAAAGATGAAGGCAAAATTCGATGCTGGTACTTGGCTAAAAAGGTGTAGAAATCCAGTGTACTGCAGGCAATTGTTACGCCCAGTGTTCAGTTTTCTTGTTAAAAGTGGTAGCACTTGTTCTTGTTTTTCCATCCCCAAGACCAAATTTGGACTGCAGCATCCTCGATCAGTTGTCCAGAATTTCTTAATTCGGCTTATGACTTCACACAAAATCAGAACAGGTCCTCAACAATGTTTTTCTCAGTAATCCACACTGTCAGCTTTCCACTCTTCTCTTGACAAAAATGCCAACTTCTGCAAATAAAGAAAAAAAAAAATCATCTTAGTCTTCTCGAAGTAAAAAAATTGGCTTGCTTTCCAAAAGGAAGTGATCCTCTCAGCACAAAAGCACCAAAAACATGTCAAATTGTCAACCATCTACCATAATAATGGTGCATGCCGTAGCCTTCACCTAGGAAAATACTCAAATAAATGTTGCTGACTAAAATCGCAAGAACCACCACCACGACAACCTAGTATGAATTTTAGCGCCATCGATAGAATCTAAGAAAGTAAGCCCAAATATACAGTCTTACTCCTGACCAGTCGAAATTAAAAGATGTTTTTTTTTTTTTCACACAAATAAATCAAGCTAGGTAGATGATAAATGACAGAAGAAACAGCAGCTCAACACCCAGTAAAAAAAAAAAGGATAAGAGAATCAGTAACAAAAACCTGAGTGATGTTATATGCTCTGCCTCAGTATATGACTAATGACCTCGCTTTCTCTTCTTTCCCCCCTTCTTGCTTACTTGTACTTTCTTCACTGGACCATCAGCGGCAGTTTTTTGCTTCTTTTTCTTTTTCGGGGTCTCCGTTTCTATTTCAAAAGTTTCTTCAGGAAGAGGAGAGTCATCCATGGGTTCGTCTTCTTCATCTGAACTTAGCACCAAATCCTCCACAATGTCCTCCTCAATTGCTTCTTGTTGCAAGCTCTTCGGTTTCTTCTTGTTTTTCTGCTTTTTCTCTACCTCAGGAGGCTTCTCCCTGTTAATGCACACAAACCATGAATGGTGAAAAAAAAAAAAAAAAAACACTACAGTCCTGGAGAATGTGTCATGTAATAATAAGCTCATACAAGGTCGTACCTTGTTTCTTTCTGTTGTAAATAGAAGGAATTAAAGACTGCTCCACCTTCATCTCCTTCATCTTCTTCATCACTTTCTGCTAGCATTTTATCAGATAAGGATGGCTCGGCACCATAAAGGACACTGGATGATACAATAAATTAGTGTTGTTCTCATGGAAGAAATATACGAAGCAAATTTAACAAGAAGACTGGTGAACCTGGATTCTGTTAGAGAGACGTTCCTCTGTTGAGCTTTTTGGCGTAATGTAGCAACATATTTCGACAAGGGGCTAGCACCAGACTGCTTCTCCTCCTAAAAGAACCAAGCAAGCCACGTATATTACATGGGAAACTCATTGTAGAAAATGAAGGGACATAATAGACAAATAAATAACCCAGTGCCCTATATGCAGACATTTCACACTTTCTTTTACCTACTATTCATAATCTTTGAGCCAACCCTAGGGTGAAAAATATTAACATATAGGAATATCTACCAACTGCCAAGTCTACCCTTCAATATATGTTACATTTGATGTACTCATGAATTTGGCTGCAGACAAATAAATAATACACAATAGCTTACCTCGAGGAAAGATGATGTAGCTGGATCACTTGGCAAGAAAGAGATTGTTGCTCGTTTTTTGTTTGTAAATTCTGAGTTTGCCTCAATCTGCAGCATAAAGTGAAACCATATACAGTTAGCACATCATCAGTGTAAGCATGAGAGGGAAAGAAGGAAAATGAAAGAAACAGAAATTAATAAGAAACTAATAAATGCTACTCCGTATATCACTGTTTTATGAGTCATATGCCGTGTTCCAACTCTTCCAAACTACTATTATTTTTCAGACTACATACCTGTCGAATAAGCTCTTTCATGTCTTTGCGGAACCTCTCAACTTTGGTGCCTTTGCAAAAATTACGCAATCTAACCGCTGGTATAAAAGATAATTCAAAGAAAGCTACAGAATAGCTCCATTGAGCCAAATGTTCACCCAATTCGTCAATCACAGAAGACACACATGCCTCCTGAAATGACCGAGTCTTGAGCGCTTGTTTGCTGACCTATGAAAACGGAATCCACAATTTAAAACAGACTCAAAAAATTGCATGACACAAGTGTGGAGCATCCAAGAAAAGAATATTGTACCTTAAGTACTGTCCGCAAGTCAGCAGGTTTGCCAACACCTCCAGTAGGTGGACAGTTCAATTCTTTCATCTCTAACATATCCAAGAGTAGCATGGAAACTGGTATGAAAGTGTCAGTTGCAGCAGCAATACAGTTGAGCATTCTAACACAACGCATGCGAAGAGGGAAGTACCGGGCAGTTGGAACTAAACGGGCCACTCCAGAAATTATTTGAGTCAATGGATAAGCAAGGGGTTTGAAGTCAGGTTCCAGGCCATATTTGCGGATTGCTACAGTCCAGAGCTCAAGACAATTGATATACTTCCACTCATAAACCTTCCTGAAAGATTCCTACCAAAAAAAAATAACAGCAGAAGTAACACAAGTGTAAGCTTCCATCTCAAGAACTAAATATTTCAAATTAGTTCAAGAATGATGAGCGGTTTTAAATTCACAAACAATGAGGCATGTAGCATCAAAGAAAAATAGAAAATACTTCTGAATCAAGAGTAATTTGGACAAAAAGACTAACCTTTGTCTTCATGTTCAATGCCTCTCGTAAAATCATCGCTAATTGTCGAATGAAGATAAAAGCATGCTGGTATGCTGTAGGAAGGTCCACCAACATAAATTCAACAAACAATTGCCTCAAAAATTGGATGTGCTGCAACTTTGTAGCATTTACAAACTGGCAGTTCATGACATAAGCTTTGTATAACCCTTTGAAGCACTCATCCAAACAATCAGACCCAAGCTGGACACATAGAGTTCTAAGGAACCAAAAGGATGCAAAAGAAAGCTCTCGGCTTCCTGTGACCCAAAAATGCAGAGCAACCTGTCAAAAATTGCAAAGATTAAATTCACAAATACATAGTCAATGAACAATTATTAGTAGATGAAATTTCCTATATTTAAATACAGAAAAAGTTCAACCAAATGGCCCAAGTGTAAAGGGAAATGATCACAGCATCTAATGGAGTTCTCTATACAAAGAAATCACAGAGAGCAATTTGCATTTATCTAAACCAAAAGGAGAGAAGCTAAAGAACAATAAAGTCCTTGTAACTTAATAAACATTCAGGTATGGAATATATTCGATTTCTAGATTGAATTAAGGAATGCCAAATTTGTCAAATGGAACCTTCAAGATAAGCGTCTTTTGTCATGAATATGATAAGCAGCATAATTGTTATTTGCACCACAGATTCATAACTGTCCAGTGAAAGCATAATCAAATATAAATGCAACAAGGAAAATGAGGAAAGACTTGGGGTATACCTTAACATACTTCCTCAGAAAGGCTGGGAAAGCAGCAAAGAACACTGATGATCTAGTTAAATGCTTCAAAGTAAATGAGATATCCTTTGCATCCGTCATTTGGTTCAAAGCATGCAGTGTATTTCCAAGATATGACTTCACCAAATGTTGATACTTCTTCCAATTTTTTGTGCTCTTTACTTCAATCAACTTCTCTTTCTTTCCTCCATAAGCAGGAAGATTCATCAAGTTACGAAGAATCCCGTCCATATTAGTCAAAGTTTCTACCATAACTTTGTTCATAACAGCCTTAGACATTGTGGTTAACCTTTCTGTGGATTTTTCATCACTTTCTTCTGCAAGATGACAAGCTACCCTAAAGGCTTTAAGCAAAGACCGTACAGGAGCAATTTTCTCATTTTCCTGAATACCCTTACACCAGGATTCAACCATTTCCATTGTGATAACAGCTCGAACCGATTGTTCTCCCTTTTTTGACCCAACAACCTCCTTCTCAACATCACTATCATCGAAATCTTCCTCATCATCAATCCCGGTATCATCAAGATCAGTTTCAGCATCATCATCGCCGAGTTTAACATCATCCTACTCATAGCATTAATTAAAAATCACAACCAATCCTTAACTACAAAAATAATGCATTCAGCAGATAGTAAGACTCACATCATCAGCATCAAACTCTAGGAGTTCTTTGTCCACCTCTTTCAGATACTCATAAAATTCAGGTTGCTGCAGAAAAACTAATCATCAATTACCCCTAAAATATTCATTTTAACCAAATTAAACTAATTTCATTAACAAAAACAAAGATTAGGAAAAGTTCTAACCGTTTCCTTAAGCTTTTCCAACTGTTTCTTATGTTCTTTAGCTTCCTTTATAGCGTCCACTTCATCTGATACAACATTTTGTGATTTCTTCACTGCAATTTACATTCAAACAGCAAATTCCAGCTTTAGAATCATCATATTTAGCTGAATTAACACATAGGGACGGTAAAAATAAAAAAAAAAATTGACAAATTTACCCTTTTTCTTAGAACCCATGATGTTCGAACCAATAAGCTGCAAGAAAAAAACAATTTCAAACACAAATTATAAACTTATAATTTTTGGGTATAACCCCAAATTCATTAAAAAAAATAAAAGGGTATAAATTAAATTCGATTAATTGGTATTAAAAGAGTTGAATTGAGTAATATACCTAAGAGATTAAATGGAAGGAACTATAAAAGACTTGAACTTTGAAAGCTGTTCCAAGGAAAAGAGGGGAACATAGGTTTAAACCCTTTAGGGTTTAACAGATTGAAACAAAAGCAGAATGATAGAACCATGAAGAGGAGGAAAACACAGAGTAATCGGGTGCCATTATTGGGCTTTTTTAATTTGAGAAGTGTAGTTAAAGGCTGGCCTGGCCCATAAACAATATGTTGCTAGGCCCACGGTGATATTAGAAGGCCTGATTATAGAATGATTGAATGAAAAGACAATAGTAAAAAATTGAATCGACCTGAATACGATTTGATCAAATTTGAAGTGACTTAATCCTTAATAGACTACATCAAAAACTTAAAATTGATCTGCATAGTTATAAACTTGTAGTGATTTAGCATGACTCAAATCTAAAATGGTTAGACTTAATTTGAAACTTGCTCGTGCACTTAACTTGACAATTCATGAATGAAAGAATTAATGAAGTGTTTTATATTTTCAAAATTCTGATTACTCGTATTTTCTAACGAGATACGGAGTACAATGCTATGAAGAACCACTTAAAATAATTATCAATTTTGTGAATATAAAGTTCTCGTACTAATATAAGTATGTATGATATAATCATAATAAAACTGCAACTTAAATTCATCCTTAACCAACCTGAATCATTTGACCAATATTTCAATATTTAGGTCAAATTAAACTCAATATTTCATTAATTAGACCAAAATCCAATCCAAACACCTAACCATAAATATTTTTTGATAACGCAATACAAAACTATGAATATGACAAACTTAGACAAATCATTATGATTATGAGTAAATAAGCATGCCAGATTGCCATTGGACAAACTTAACCCTAATCTATTCTCACCATACATTAGCCAAAAACCATTTAAAGGCTTGTTGTAAAATTCAAGAATATAATTGGTCTAGGTCCTACCAATAAAGCCAAAGGAGACAACTTCTTGTTGCAAAATACTTCCTAATTGGTAGTACAAACTGTACAATTCAACTTTGAATTACTAAACTATCCCTGTTTTTTCACCGTTAAAGTCAAACTCTCCACAAAGTAAATGACATTTCAAAGGGCATTTTTTAATTTTTTATACACATCACTTTTTTCAAATCATCAACCCGCCATCTTTGTTTTTCATACCAAACATGTAAAAGTTACATTACAACATTCAAATTTTCTTCCTAACTCTTTCCCATTTATATTCAACTTTAATTATTTTATTTACTAATCCCTCTACATCATAACATAATCCCTATTTTTTATTTGTAAAATCTTTAAGATGTTTCTTTGACTATTATCATTAATATATAAAGCCGGTGTCGCAATCAGGTCACGACACAGCGACACTTGGCATTTTAGTTTTTCGCCAAGTGTCGCGCCACGTAGGCGAAAAATAGGTATTATTGTGACACATATGATACTAAGTAAGTGGTTTTTGGATAGATTTTTAAGATGAAATTGTATTAACTCTATAGTTTTATTTTCGATAGAATTCAAATATTTCATATATACAAAATTAATCATAACTTTTAATAAATATCCTATAACTATGTTCTATTTCCATCATCAAATTCGTTTTAAAAAGTTCTTTAAAATAAGATCCATTTCTAATACATATTTAATCACAAACTTTTATACGTAGCTTGTCAAACTGTGTCACCAACTATTACAAAAGTTACTTCGTTAGTGCTATAAGGGTTACTTGGTCAGGTTATAGTGGTTACTCAATCAGTGTTATAGATAGGGGTTACCTAGTCAGTGTTAGAGGTTATTCAGTTAATATTAGAGGGGTTACTCGGTCAGTTTTATAGCCACATACAAAATGCGTTGTTATTTAACTTATTTAAGAAAATATTAAAGAGTCAATAAAAATAAGTTTTAATCGGTAAAAAATAATTTTTGTTTGGTGAAAATACTTCAATTCAGTGAAAATAATTTAAGTTCAATAAATATAAGTTCAAGTTAATAATAACATAAAAGTACACTATTACATAAATATAAGCCATATGATATCGTATGTTTAATTTCCTCAAAAAAAAAAATCGTATGTTTAAATATCTTACATTATCAGAACGAATTATTTGACCATATTTAACATAAAAAATATTATCTTAAAATTTTATCAACCTGGGCATCGCACGGGCACAAAACTATCATATCATATCATATCACTAATAAATAAAGTCGGTCGCGCAGCCAGCCTACGAGACAGCGACACTTGGCATTCCAGTTTTTCGCCAAGTGTAGAGTCACGTTGGCGACAAATAGATATTAATTGTGATTAGATTAAATGACACGTTAGATTAGATTGGATAGATATGATTAGGATAAAAAAAAAAGTATACATAAAATATTTTATAATTTTTTTGAAAAATTTATCTTTTTACTGACAATAGAATTTTACTCATAACAACACACCACATATTATAACTAATATGAATATCCAATTAACAATAGAATCTTACTCCTATACGAATAACCACGTAATTATAATTATAAATATGACTATGTATCACAATTATTTTATTTTTTTTAGTATACCATTGATTTACCATTAAAGCTTTTGAATCATGTATTTTTCATATTCGGTTGTAATATTTTTGTATATGTTTGTGATTTTGTTAATGAAATTAAGGAAATAAAACTACAAAAACTAAAACACAACAGAAACTATACTATATACAAGGGAATCTTGAAGTGAATTCACATCAATGTTAGCAAAGTCTTAGAACTTTACAGATTTTACAAAGCCTCTGTAACCCATTTACCAGCCATATATTACAAATGGTCCAATTAGGCCAACAATATTATCTATTGATTTTACGTGTCAGAAAAATAATTACTTTTAACTTTTTATCTATTTTTTTTTTACCGACGCACTTTTCTTTTCACAAAATTATACTCCCTCTATTATTTTAGTTTCCCTATGAAATTTAGCACATATGTCGACATAGAACTTTGATAAATAATATCTTAATTATATATTTTTTTTTATGTATAATTCAAAATCATTGGTCGAAGTAGACCAAGTGAATATAGTGCAACTTACAAAAATACTAAATAATAATAAACGCTCAAAAAGAATAATAGGTAGTGTTTTTACTTTTTTTTTTTATCTAACATTTGAAATAAAATAGAAATACTAATTATTATTATTATTATTATTATCCTACAATTAAGTACACTCTTTAAAATGGGTATCCAGGGCAACGCTCGGGCACGTACTAGTTTTTTATTATTTAGCAACAAAAATTATTAAAAAAATTACGAGTTTATATAAAAAAAAATAAAATTACTAGGATAGATTTAACAATATTTCAGTATATTTTATGAGAATTATATTTCAGAATTTTCAAGATTTGACCATAAAAATAAAAATTAGTACAATATTATTAGACAAAAAAGTAATAATTACCTACTAATCATAAAATTACATCTACGAGTACTCCGTGTAAGAATAGTAGCCTAGTCACACTATTCTTTTGCCAACCCTAGTAAAAACACTTTACAAAAATTAAAAAATAATCCCCAATTCACTTTGACCATTCTTTTACTGATCCAACATAATCTTTTTGCTTTTTTTCACCCTTTGCCTCCTTTATGATGACAATTTCATTCAAATTTCTTCTTTTTTCCCTCATCAATCTTTCTCTTTTCTGCATGTTCCCATTCCTTTTACTTGAATTTCAACACCAAAAGCCATAATTAAGCAAAACTTCTTCTTCTCTCTCTCTAAAAAATGAAGTTCACTCCTTCAACCTCTGTTTCTTCTTCCTCTGTTTCATCCTCCTCTGTTTCTTCTTCTTCTTTCAATGAAAACTTCTGCAAAAGTAAAGGCAATGTCTTTGGATGTTTTTCAGGCGTTTTGAGCAGAATTCTTTGTTCCAAGAGTCTCCCAACTCATCCTTCTGACCCAATTGAGATTAACAAGAAACAACATTACTCGACGATTGAGACGATCGTTGTAGATGGTGCAGTCACTCCTAATGTAGTAGCAAGGCTAATGGGTTTGGATTCGATGCCGGAATTAGAATTTAGTTCAGAATTTCATCAGAAGTTTACGAATTCGATTCCGAGAAGCAAATCAATGGACTCAGAGGATTTCAGAGGAGAAACAGAGGAGATGCAAGGGCAGCACCGGAGAGTTAAGACTTCTGTTTCATTTAGGGAAACACCCGATTTCTTCGAGCTCGAAGACGATGATTTCTTCATCTTGAATTTCGATAAAAGGGGTAAATGTAAAAAGAAAGATCCCAATGTTGAAGATTCAGAAGCAAGTGTTAAAAAGCACAAACGTAGAAGGAAAAGAGATAAATGTGGGAAAAAACAGAGAAGAAACAGAGATGAACAGAGTAAAAACAGAGTATTTTCTAATGAAGAGAGGCTTACTTTGAAATTATCACCTCAAAATTCTCCCAAAATTGATGCCATTTTTGACATTCACAAGCAAAGTTATCATCTTTCTCCAATAAGAGATATGAATAGTAGCAAAAAAGAGGAATTGGATGAAAATAAATCAAGAAAAAAGAAAAAGAAAGAAACTTTTTTGGGACAAAGTAAAGATGAAGTAGAGTGTGATTCAGATAATTCTAGCCCAGTTTCTGTTCTTGATCATATCACTGATTTCATCAGTGATCCTGAAGTTACAACATCAGGTATTAATTTTTATATCCATATATTTTACATTCTAATTTTAATATTTCATTATTTGAGCAATTTTTTTTCTAAATTTTTCCCTTTTTCATTTTCTGATAGAAGAAGATGCAAAATTGGGAGAGTCTGAATCTGTTAGCAGAAATGATTCGTCTCAAAGTAATGAAAGTTTTGCAGAGAGAAATGTTGGGTTAAAAAGAAGAGATTACAAGAAACATGAAAATATAGAAATGTTGAAGAGAATATGCAGGTTAGCTGAAGCTGAGGTAAATAATTCAAATTGGAAGTACAGGAAATTACTGAAGGATGATGAGTTGGAAGATACTGCATTAGATTTTAGTCAAGGAATATTTGACCAGTTGGTTAGTGAATTAATAGATCAACTTCTAGAAATTGAATGCCAAGACATTTGATTTTCTTTTACTTCAACTATTTTTGATTCTTGTATACGTTTTTTTCA